TTTTAAATAATTTTTCTTTTTTTAAAAAAAAGCAGTATTTTGTGAATTGAGATGAAATATTTCGTCATTTTTCTAAACGTTATCAAGTCATCATAAGAATAACATTCAGAGAAAGTATTGCTAATTGATGCATAATATTTGAAAATATACTATTGTATATAGTTAAAAAAATATATAAAATTTAAAAAATTTAGTTTGAGCCTATTTTAAATTAATGCTTGCAAATAAATTTTTTAAGAACATTTGAACAAATGTTTAACTACGTTAAACTTGGGCTCAACAGCAAGAATCGACCTAATTGTTAAATTTATATAAATTTATATAAAAACACATCACCAATTTGTATATCAGTTTTGCATAGCAACCTATCTTTTTTTATACTAATTAATTTTTAATGTTAATTATTTTTTTAATTGTAAACAAAATAAAATATGTACTTATTCAGAAATTTTTGCTAGCTTCCACTTCTAGAAATTTAATTATTCTTAAGAGTATAGCAGTATGTGAGAGCATTAACTATATAACTCTATATAAGAACTAGAATAATGCTTATGATAAAGTTTGTCTGAATTATTTCGATGGTCCAACCAACTTTTTTAGCGGAACAACATACCATACGCAAACGTTTTCAATATTTTCTCTCCTTCTACTACAAACTTAAATAGTTGCAAGTATTTACTGAACCAGATAGAAGAATACTAGCTCAATAAATCAAATTTTAAAAGGTAAAGTATAGTTAGTCTATGGCAGGGATGGCGAACCAATGGCACGCTTGCCATTTATGGCACCCGACACAGTATTTTGGGCACGCCACTGATCACATTTGTTATTACACTATGAATTGTTATTTCTCAAATGCTATTACACTATGAAGCATATGTAACTATTAAATTAAAATTCACAAAAAACACGCAAAATAATTAACAATTATTAATGAAAAAAATTAACAATTAATGCTAAAAAAGCAATTAATAACCATAAAAAACAAGCTAACAATAAATAACTAGCAAAAAAAATAAACAGTCCTGCTGAAACTAACATCTTACAACCTAATATAAGTTATTTGTAATCTCATCTGCAACAACGGAAGTCATACTGATGTTACTTAAAGTTGAATTACGCGTATAACTGAGACATTGCAAAATAATTTTTTTTCAATGTAATTAAAGAGTTTTGAGTTGATAGTATTCAGTATTATTATTTTCCCAATAATCACGAAAGCGAAATTATTTGACGGCACGTCTATGACCTCATTAAACAATTTTTTTGGAAAAAATGGCACGTTGGTGTATAAAGGTTCGCCACCCCTGGTCTATGGTAACAGCCAGGGCTGGCAAGTTTTTGACACATGACGGTTTTTACCGGTTTATACCATGGTTTTTACCGTCATGTCAAAAACCCCTCTGTCAAAATCGTCAAAAACTGTCAAAAAACTCATAGTTTTGGTAAAACTGTATTTTTATTTGAGTTTAACTGCTTATAATTTAAAATTAATTCATTTTTGGGCAATAAAATTAGAAAAAAAGTTGTGACAAGGATATTTAAGAACAGATTCTTGCATTTTCCCAACATGATTACATCAAAACATACTATTTGAAGTAAAATATTAGGATACTAAACAAAATTTTCAACATTTCCAAGCATCATTTTGTTTGGCATATTACATTACTGAAGAATGTCAAGTCATTCTTGACTTAGAGTTTGTTAGTAGTTACAAGTTTTGAAAGTTTTGTTTAGCTTATTTCTAATATTTAAGAAATGCCAAATTTTAAATTCTTCTTTTTAGTTCTTGAATTTATTAATAGTTCCAAGCTTTTTTGTTTGTTTGTTTATTTCTAACAATTAAGAAGTGCAAAATTTTGAATCCTTTGCAAATCAAGCTATAATGATAAAAGTAAGTATCACTATTTTCAATAAGTATATTACAATATTTCTATATGAATGTATATCCTTCTATAAGAATACATGTATATAGTTGCAAAATCAATAGCAATCATTTACAACATTCATTTATAAAGGCAATTAAGTGAAAATAATATATATTCTCCGCTATGTGCCATAAATTACAGAAAACAGTAGGTTTTTGACAGTTTTTACCACTGTCATGTCAAAAACCAGTTTTTGACGGCAAAAACCCAACCCTGGTAACAGCTCTCCCCGCCTCAAAGCCTGAGGCCGTCTGCTGGTATGGAAACAATAATAGCACATTTCAGGGAGAGCGGCTTCTCTTCACTCTAGGTTTAACACAATAGACCGAAGAAAAAGATTCCATTTCTCTCTCCGATCCGAACCAAAACCTGTCCTAAACAGAGACCCCACACCCCTACTTGAAATAGTTATGCCTCGTTTCCATAGTCACCGCCACAGATTCTGACGAATGACTAGGGGAGTTCTTACTTTAGACAAACTATACTTCTATCTACTTTAGTAAATAAAATTTTAGAAGGTAAAGTAGCAGAATTTAAAAATTACTTGCTGTTATTACAACTTACTGAAATAAAAATGGCACACTTTGAAGGTGCCATGTGATTCTTTCTTAGTATATGTATTACTAGTGATTCAACTTGTTAATAGAGAAAATAAACAAAAATATTTAATAGCATTTAAATAATTGAGCTTGACCTTGAGGTTCAACCTACTGCATTTCCCCTTATTTTTTTCTAATTGTGTCAGGCTTTCCGTGTTCTTAAGTTTACTTTTATTTTCCAACATACAATTTACTATTTCTAAATCCGATTAATCATTCCTTTTGCCACAATTAACATATTAGCATATTATTCTTACATATAAAATTATAATAACTATTCTTTTGCGGAAATTATCAATTTTTTGAAAGTGAAAAAATTATGAATGAGAAACCATCATGATAGATTAACAAGCAGGCAATGGAGACTCCTAGTATAATCATAAATAATAACAAAACAATTAGAAATAATAAAATGTCAGCTTACTTTTAAGTCATTTTGATAAAAATATTTTAACTTTTTAATCAGATTGAAATGCATGTAATTATCGATAGTGTCATACAAAATCAAGCTATGAATACAATTAAGTTTAATACATTAATACCAGGGCCGGATTAAGCACACGCAGGACCCTAGGCCATTCAGATTTTTGGGGCCCTTAGATTAAATTTTTTCCTCATATATTTTTTTATTTTTTCAAATATAAAAGTATTTATATATCTTTTCATTTAAGAAAGCACATTTAAAATTAAAATAAATAATAATAAATTAAATTTACTTTATTTTATTGAATTAGAACTAAAAAATAGTCATAACATTTTGAAAAAAATTTGAAAAATCATTGTTTTTCTTAATTTTTTAAAATTTATTTTCAAAAAATCCATTTTAAGGGGGCCCCTAATCATTGGGGGTCCCAGGCCATGGCCTAGTCTGGCCTAATGGGTAATCCAGACCTGATTAATACCTACCTAATATATTTTCGTTCTTACATCTTTTTTTTTTTTTTTTTTANTTTTTTTTTTTTTTAATATGTCATTGTTTACTCACAAAATTATTGTTAGAATTTATTTTATCTTACCTTTGTTCTTACAATTTTATCTTTGTTGGATTTAAGTATTTAATTAATATTTTAGTTAAAATTAGCCAATTAAGTTTCTGCAATAATTGATATTTTAACTATAATATATTAAAGTACTTAAAGAATAAATTATTAAAGTATTAAGAAATTTAAAAAAATATTTGTTGAATTATTGCTTAATATCAGTAACTTAAAAGTATGAATAAATTTTAATTCAAATTATAAAAGAATGATATTTTAAAACATTTCTTGTATTATCTAAACAAATATCATTGTGCGCTTTGTTATAAAGTTTAATGCTTCCCCCACCCTATGCTACGCACATGCCTATGTCTACAAGTGTCTGCAGTAGAATAGTTTTTATAATTAGTTTCGAATACAAAATTTTTGGATTAACACAAAATAATAACACACATTAACAACCTAAATTTGTCAAATGAAATATTTTTCAGTTATTTAGTTGTGTAGAAACTACTACCGGCAAATATAAACTAAAAATATTCATAAGAAAAGTTTATCAAACAGGGGTCAGAACTAACAAGCTTCAAGAAATGAAACTACTGTAATCACTACTTCGTTTCGTAGTTCGTAATATAATGTGCAACTGAATGAAAAATGCAGTCTAATGAGTAGTGCAATATTAAAAAAAAAACCCAAATAGATTGTAAAATATTCTTGCAACTACTTTTAACTTTAGCATTGTAAAGAAACTGGTTTAAAATTTAGTTTGTGCAAATCTTATGTGTCCATCCAGAAATGCAATGATGACGACAATGTAATATACAAAGTTGATTTTCTTTAGTTGAACCAACTTTAGTTTTAAAACTTATTGAAAATAACAAATATTTGAAAATTTTCTAGTATTTCATGAAATGAATATCAGCCATCAAGAAAGCTTTAAAAGTTGAAAGAGAATCATATGATAATAATTAGAATTATATCTGTAAAATATAAATTAGGATTTTATTACTTTTAATCATTTTTTCCTTCTTTATAAATTTTTTTTCTTTATTTTTTTTTCTTTTAACTGGAATGAAGAGTGGATCCTTAAACTGAAATCTACTTAACTACTATTAGGAAATAGTAGTTAAGTAGTGACAACATTTTGAAAATAATTTTGAAAAAAAATCATTGTAGTTCCAGTTAACTACATTTCTAAAAGTAGTTAGAGTTAACAACAACAAAAAATCTAAGTTCTACGACCAATGCTACTAAATAATAATTCATACTTATAATATTGTTGAAATCCTGAAGAAAAAAAAAGCGCATGCTGTATTGTTGTTTACCGAAAACGAAAAGTTAAATATCTAAATCGCTTAGGACATTTTTATCCACAATACAATTGTTTTGGCGTGTTGACAGCTGTGTTTTAAGCAGAGGGTACAAACAAAAATATTCGTTTTTTACAACTGACCCTATAAAGGTCATTAAAAAGTATTAATCAAAAAGCATCTTACTTTAGGACACACAGAAGTAGATAAATGAACCATCCTAGTGGAAGGTGAAACGTATAAATGCAAACATTTATTACCTAATAGATTAATGCTTATTGAACTAAATCTAGTTAACGACTTAACCACCATGCTGTCTAACCATACACTAAATGCACCGCGATCCAAAACCGTGAAAAGTTCTCTTAGCTTGTCGTCTGCTCGAATAAACAGTGTTGTTGCCACTTATATTTTTTTGAGGAAAAAAAAACAATTCTGCTAATTGCATCATAAAAAAAAGAGACGTTGCATAACTGTCGCTGCTTATTCGCTCGAATACGCCATCTAGGAAGAAAACCGTTTCCATGGCATGACCCTTCTCTATCTTCTTCTTCTTAGTTGTATAGAAATGTGCTAAGATACTTTTCCTTTTCTTAATATTATTCATGTATAATTCCCCCAAATATTTTTTAACATTTCCATGACGCTTTCCTTTTGAACTATGTTCAATATAGTTTTCAGTTACAAATAGTCTCCTAACTTAAAAAGTTTTTATTTATTTGAAAATCAAGGCAGAAACTAACATACGTCTTTCTATGATTCTCCATACGCTAATGGAGAAAGGATGTGAAGTTCTGCCAGAGGTAAAAAGTTCTGCTCTACGCCCTCTGCAGCCCATTTCGATTGCCTTATTAACTAATTTCTTCATCGTTGGCATTGTTACCGCCTATTCATTGTTCATGTTTCATGTTCATCATTCATTGTTCTAGATTTGGCTACTAGGACTTATTTTTGGCATTTTTTTCATTATTTCTCGAGTTATAAAATGTCTATCGTATTTTCCTACCATTCGACATTTACGCTAAAAAGAGCAAAGTAATTAGTAGTAGCAGGGTAGATAGGGCAGTTTTTTCAATATTAGCGGCAAGGGAGAGGGATACGCTTGAGTTTTCAAATTCCATTGTCTTGATTGTTTATTAAATATCATGACTTCACAGTTAAATAGCTCCAAAACTAACAAATGACAGTGTTATATTTAAACGGCACTTAAATAGTGTTAGACGTATTATTCCTCATAATTCAACTGCCAATAATTCTGTCTACACAAAATTACTCGGTGCAATAAAAAAAATTATTAGCTTTGACATAAAATAACTCAAAAACAAATGCTCTCCAACTCAAATTATATTTAGGCTATGTCTCTTGCTCACTATCAATCTCTGATTATCGGACTGCTGGTTGCTTTCTTTTTTTATCGCTTCATGTGCTCATTTCATCGATCCGAAAATTGTAATAATATACATATTTGTTGCAAAAAATCAAAACAAAATTTTAATTAAATTACACATATTTCGAAATTAAAAATGGAAATTCACATAAAAAAAGAGGTATTTTGATTTCGCCGCCTATTATTTATTGCTTTAATTTTAAGAAATTATTGAATGTGGCATGAAAGAAAATAAAATTGAAAATAAATTAATTCAGAACAAAAAAAAAATTAAATTTGAAAGCCAAATGGGAAAGTGTCATATAGTAAAAATTAAATTTACAATTTTTAACTTTTACTGTAAAGTTAATACATTTGCATTGACAAATTTAATCTAAAGAAGAATTTTAAATAACCTATGTATGTATAAAAAAGAAAAAGGTAGGAGGGAAATGCTCTTAGTCCCTATCGAGTCCCCTAATTAAAATAATTTCATTTTATTTTCATGGAGAGAAAAAAATACGACTTTGTTATCTTTCGGAATTGCATAGATAAACACCAACATTTTAAGATTCAAGGACTCCAAAACTAACTCGAAATTATAAGAAATATCTGTAGTTTCTTTTTCCTTTTTTAAATTTTAGTCATAAGATTACGTACAGGAAAATATTATAGCTTTAACTGCTATTAGTTTTTCCTTCACAACGAAAAATCATTAGTTTCGAAGCTAACTTCAAAATTTAAGCAAAGTGAGATGCTTTGAATCGTTACAAGGTCGGGAAAGTCTGGTTGGTTGAACATTCGACCCATGTCCAAGAAAGAGGTCATAAGTTTGATCCCAGCCAGTCGAAGACTCCCCGTGTAATAAATTGTGACTGATTCACGCTAATTCTGTAGGCACACAAAGTTCTTCATGACCCCATAACAAATCATACCTATGGGGGGTACGGAATTGGAGATTGATCGTTCTCTAGTTCCGATCAAAATTACGATCTGTGGATGAATAAGTGGACGTATGAATTGGCCCAACCCATAAACGGGTTGTGACGCGTGTGTGTCTGAATAAGACGTTTTTTTGACCGTAAGTGGAGCCATTGATAAACAAGAAACGCAACAAATTCACTTGATTTTACCAAACAGGCTTTCTGGTATTGGCAAGCGGCATTTGAAGTAACATCTTTTCAAACATTTGAGTAAAAAAAATCCTTATTTCCCTGCTAATAATGTTAGGCTATACTAAATTCCGCTGCAGCATCAACAACCATTTTGATACCCGAGTGCTCTTTAATGGTCTTCGTCTCATGAAATGTTGTAAATTTCATATCGTTAAAAATTATTCTTTTATGGTTTTAGTATTTTGAACTTTTTTTTTAATTTTAACAAATTGTATTTTTGGGACAAATGAAATTCATTCTCAAAAATTAATTTTCAAATTATAAATTTTTTCGTTGTCAGAATTTCCTGCATTTCTGCTATGCATTTTCAGAAAACCGTTGATTTTGAGAAAATTTCCTTATACTAACAAACTATACAAAAAATTTAGTATATAAAATTCTTTTGAATTTTCCATGTAGTTTTATGTAGGTTTTGAACTAAAAGCTAAGAACTAATTGTGAATTTGTTAATTTTATCAAGCTTTAAGTAGGAATATTTAGAGTTTTACTTTAAAATTTTATATTAAACAATATATTTCGTTTTATTCCAATGCCTCTTTTGTAATTTTCATAAGTTTTAAGTTCAAAACATAGATAATCACATTATTGGTCCCATCAACTAAAATGTGTCTTATTGTGCAGAATGTGCAGCAAATTCCAGATTATGATGTGACAGATTTACCCATAAACAAATTTTCTCTGATGCTACACAGTTAATCATTACAAAAAAAATTATTTCAGTTATAGATAAATTTTTAATGCAATAATTAAATTCATTGGGTGATAAATAACTCTTTAGCCTTATATTGCTTACATTATTTTGACCGATTTTTATGATAAAATATTTCTTTGTAAATAAAAACTAACTTCATGCTTATTCTGCACACAAAATTAACTTAAAATCTCAACAATTTGAAAGAAAAAGCATTGTTAACTGAAGAAAATCTACTTAATAAGAAAAACCTTTTGTTCAATATGAAGAGCTTTTATCATTGTACTTTTCATTTTACAATTCCAAATCTCTACAGAATTTTTTATTTATAAATTATGAATTATTTGTAAAAATTTAAATCTTTATATAAAAATTGCTGTCAAAAAATTCAAATTTCATAAATTTGCTCTGCAAAATTATACGATCTAATATTTTTAGACTATTTATACTTTATATTCTGTAATGATTGAATTAATTTTATTCATAAAATTATGGAATGGAAAGCATAAATTTACTGTTTATATTAGATCATTAATTTAGTAAAATAAAGTTTGTGAAGAATTAAGATATCTCTTGAATATCCAGGTAATGTATGCAAATCATATCTATTAGAAGTTCCTTAGATATCAATGTTACTTGCTTTATATCTCATAGATATCCGTGAAAAGTCATATATATCTGTCAGACGTTTCTTGGATCTACAGCAGACATCAATATTCAAATATCTACTAGACATCATACAGATGCGACCCCTGGATTTCAGTTGGATATTTAGGCATCTTAGAAAAGTCTGCTGGATCTGGAAATATCCAGTTCTTTTTTTTTTTATCTCAGAGATTTCTCAAAGATGTGTTGACCGTGTGGGAGTATTTCAGCATTGAAAGTTGCTGTTACAAGAGAGTTGCAGTTACTATGATGGCGGCACATCACTATTTTATCTAAGTATTCAGAGCTTTATTCAAACTGACACATGTTTTCAAGCCTAAAGTGGTGCCTTTTTCCCTACCGTGTAAACCTGGCTTTTCGTAGAACACGTCATCTGTTAAATCTTGGCGAGAGCCGAGAGGATAGCTTTAGCGCACCCAAGTTCAGAAGTTGCGGCAGATCTGTAGGGTTAACGATATTGGTGACCGAAATGGGTTGCAGGTGGCGTGAAGCAGAACTCTCTACCTATGGCAACATTTCGCATGCTTTCCCCAATAGCGTGCGGAGAGTCATAGAGGAAGAAAATACGTCACTTTCTCTCATGATTTTCATATCTATTAAAATCTTTTAAGTTGGAACACTATGTGGAACTGAAAACTACATTAAACATAGTTCTAAAGAGAAGCATCACGGAAATTTTAAAAGATATCTTTATTCAATAAAAAGGAAAAATATTAAGTAAAGCGAAAATATCGTAGTACATTCCTATACAACTGAAAAGAGGAGGACAGGAAAGGGAGAAGGGCCAAAGGTAAGAAACCGATCTCTCCCCAGATGGCGTATTCGAGCGCTGCGATCGCCAATAGAACACTGGCGTTTGCAAAGATTTTTTCTCTATTTCCTTACAAAGATTCGTTATTTAGTCATTCATTCTTATTTACTTATAGATCCAAAATACTGTTCGTTCGTGAACACAATGAACGAAAGTTTTCATTTACATTACAGTGTCAAGACTGCTTGTCAGGTTGAAATGCAATTGTTCTGTGGTGTTGTTGACTTCTTTTGATATGTAAATTTAATCGAAACTATAAAAATTCTACTGAAAGCAGTTGTGATGGTAAGTTCCGGGATGCTTAATTAATTATGTAATTAAAAGCTGATAATTTAAGATTATGCATTATTTAATGATATTTTAAGATTATATATTATTTAATGATATTTTAAGATTATGCATTTCTGGTACTGTATTAAATTGAAGTTGACAGAACTTGCATTAAGAACTGAGCCGAAAAAAGCTAGGTTTCTATTCATGTACATGAAAAAGTGTTTTAATGATTTTTTACGGGGATATTTCTGTATCGTATACTGTCTGATATCCGTATCGGAAACGGAAATTCCCAACCCGAATTCTTAATAGTTGCCTATATTCTAAAACTCAAAACCGGCGAAAAGCATGGGCAATTGGAATCTAGGGAGCCATAGACTAAGGTTGTCAAAAATTTCCAGTTGCCGAACTTCCTTAAATTCCAAATATCAAAATGTGGTTGGCAATAAAAAAAAAGGATGAAGGCTTATCTGCCCCTACTGTTTATAACAAAGAATACCTTGCTTATTGTATAGCTTCCAACTGTACTGGATTTTCCAATAGACTACTGCATTTTGCCAGTTTCTACTGGTTTAATAAAAATTCTCTTGGTTTTTAGACACTTTTGAAAATTCCCTAAACTTGAGTAAGTTTCCTCAAAAAGTCCCTATTAAAATGGAATTTTTACACAGATTGTTGCTTGCTTGAATATTTTAAATACGTGTTACTAATGCATAAAGAAGCCCTTATAAAATTCAGTTAACTATCTTTGATGAATTAAATACTTATTACTATTCAGAATTAAGAGAAAACATAATGCATAAAATTTCGAGTTCATTTAATGTTAATCATAACTGGAAAATATTGCAGTTTTTTTTTTGATGACTATAAAAATCCCAAAAATTCCCTTTGTGTAAAATATTTAGCACATTTTATAACAACTAGGAGGCTTCGCTACCTGCTCACTGGCGCTCGCCAACCCCTGGAGCTGCTTTCGAAGTTGATTTCGGATTGTTTCGCAATCCAATGCTCGTTTTGCTCGCTCATTGGATACGTTCTTAACGTCTAGCTTTTGTATACTTTTTTTAATACTGAAGTTCCGCAGACTTTTCACTGTAGAAAATTCTAAACCTGTACATTTCAATATTAATTTGAAATTGCAAACAGTTCACATATTTTGCTTAATCACACTATTCTAAATTTTAGTTGTTGAGAAAAGTAATTGTTGTAAGTTTTGTTTTAAAGTCTTTCCCACCAGAGGGCTAAAGCCATGTGTCGTAAAACAATATGAAATAGTAGTCTGCCACTGAACGCCGGATTTAAAGCATCGGCTTCAATGAAGATAATTTTTTATTTTAATTCTCTGAAGGGCACCACCCTAATAATATGGAATTTGTAAAATAAATGTATATATTTTTGATTGTTGATGAAGCCCATCATTTTGTGTTTTCATCAGTGCAGAACAACTATAATAAAGGTTCAGAAGCAGAACAACTATAAGTTTTTTATTTTATCGCAAAAATATAAAATGTATAAAAAACAAAGAAAAGTGTAAGAAAATTAGTATAATCATAGAAAAAGTTAAAATTATAATATAGTATTTGTCAGTTAAAATGAAACTTTTTGTTTAAGTCATTGTTAACAATTCAAATTTCTTTGATTTTTTGAAAAGGAATTTAAAAATTAAGAAAAACAATGATTTTTTAAAAAATAAATCAATTTTAAATATATATTAAAATTTTTTTTAAATGTTATGATTATTTTTTAGTTCTAATTTAACAAAATAAAGTAAAATTTAATTTATTATTATTTATTTTAATTTTAAATATGCTTTCTTAAATGAAAAGATATATAAATACTTTTATATTTGAACAAATAAAAAATATACGAGAAAAACAACTTAATCGAAGGGCCCCAAGAATTTGAATGGTCTATGGCCCCGCGTGCGCTTAATCCGGCCCTGGAGGGAAAAGATATGTAAAATTTATGTATTGAAAATCATATCAGGGCTTAATCCAGGTTTTCAATCCTAGTACCTATTTTTGTGAGAAAAAAGTATTTTTGTGAAAAAAAAATTATTTTTGTGAAAATTTAGTACAGCTAAAAAAGATTAAAAAAAAACTATATATGTATACAAAAAGTACAATACTATAAAAAACATTCACATATTGCGCAAGGAATTGCTTATAAGACAGCTTGCAGATTAATTCCATTTATTAATTCAATATAAAAATTATACAGCCAGCCAGCATAGAAATAATGGAATTTTCCATACAGATTAATATTAAGGTTAAAAATTAGATCTATATAAAGTTTAAAATTTTTTTTAACTTACTTACTAATAAAATTTATTGAACTTATTATGATTAACAAATTATTATTTTGATATTGTGCTAACTTTTACTTTTGAATTAATGGTTAAAAAAATAATAGAAATACAGAATACTAAGATTAAATTATAATAACCGTTAATAATAACCGCTCGGAAAACTATTCAGCACTTTAATTCCTTCGAATTTTTTATCTTTATTTTCCTGAAGATGCGTTTTTTTTNTTTTTTTTTTTTTTTTTTTGAAGGTACCGAATTTTTTTTTTTTAATTTTGTGAAGGTACCGAATTTTTTATTTTTATTTTGTGAAAGTACCGAAAAACGGTACCAAAATCGACCTGGATTAAGCCCTGCATATTGATGTGTTTTTATATTATATAATACTAGTTATATTATATTTAGTTTCAAAATTTTGTTTAATTTGCTCTAATTGAATAAGATGTGTGCATAATTCATTACTTTTTTATGTGTATGCAAAAATCATAACTTCAATAGTTACTACATTTAAAATTTTATTTTTGAAATAAGAAACCATTTTTTAACTTTTATAATAATATAAAGAGCAATATTAAACAGTTAAAAAAAATTCCATTATTTGTCCATTTTTTTAAAAATAAATGTCACTGTAAAGGGGGCAAAGGCCTTAATTCTCCAAAACTTTTTTTTAAATTTGTTTTTTCTACCAATAGAGAGAAGATTTATATCTGTGCTTATGCTTATTGACTGATGAATGAATGAATTTTTTTGCAAACGTTATATGAATAAAAAGGCAATGTTTTTAAGGGACGGGTGGCTTATTTTACCAAAAAGGGTGCATTTATATTGTAGGGATTAAAGGGCAGGCAGGGTGGACTGCCCTTCTGAAAACAATTAAGGAGAACACTGTTATAACATTGTGGGCATTTTATTAAAATATAACACAATATTAAATGCCTCTTTCTTTTTAGGTTGTGATGTGACGAGCATGATAGTGACAAAAATTTCCTTAGTAAGATTGACTATGGAGGACTAAATAGGACAACTTGTGTATTCACATCCATGACAATGTTTATATTTAATTTGAATAGAAGTTTTCTTAGTATCATCATCATCATAAATTTTTCTTAGCTTCCCTACAAAGATGCTCCGTTTTCGATTATACACGTGTAAAATAATTATTCTCACATCATTAATATGGTTTACGCTAGGAGTTATAGTTTTGATGTATTATACAGACTGTGTAGGTAGCAATAGCTGGTGTAGTAAAAAGACTTCTTCTGTGGTGCAAGACACAGTGCAATTGTCTTCTAAATCACCAACTGCTCCTAATGGAAAATTTGTCAAGTGGAAGGCTGTTGGTGAGTGATCTATATTTTTATATTTTCAAAAGATGAGATTGTGTCAAGCTGTGAAATATGAGGAATTTATTTCCACACTTTGAAGAATTTTTTTTAAAATTAGAATTTCAAAACTATTTTTTGGTGCACAATACGAAATAAAAATTATCAGATTTTCAATGTATCTTACATAAGAGTGCAAAATTTCCGCTTACCATTTAACGATTATGGACCAGATATTTAGGGCTGGCAAATAAGTTTTTTTTTCCATAAAAATATTGTTATGAATCTAAATGTTTAACTCATTATCTTAAATACTTTTGTAAATATATTCTAACAAACCTTTATTTTTTTATGTGAAATTTTTTTCTGTATGACCCAGTTAAAAACATTCTCATAAAAGATAACTTCTAGTACTAGTACTGTTAAATGCATGTTTTTATTAAATTCAAATTGAAATTTAACAATTGACAATGATTTTTATGGATTTTGTAATTTAGATACAATTTTTAGCCCAAAATTTACAATGACAAATAAGTTTTTTTTCTTCATAAAAATATTGTTTTGAATCTAAATATTTAACTCATTATCTTGAATACTATTGTAAATTTATTCTAACTAACTTTATTTTTTTTTATGAACCATTTTTTTTCTATGAAACTTATTTCTGTATGACGCAGTTGAAGATGTTCTCATAAAAAATAGCTTCTAGTATTAGTATGTTAAATGCATGTTTTTATTAAATTCAAATTGAAATTTAACTATTGACAATGATTCTTATGGATTTTGTAATTTGGATACAATTTTTAGTCCAAAATTTACAATGGCAAAATTGTTTTTGTAAAATGGGGGCAGTATGGGGAAAAATATATCGACATTTATCAGTCATAAATGATTTTTATTTGTTGTGACAATTTGTGAAAATATTTTCTTACTTTACCATATTTTTGTGTTGAATTTTTAACATAATTTTTAATTTTCACAAATTATGTCTAAATTTCCACAAAATAGGTAGTACCTCTTAAAAAAAATCTAGACTGACCCCTGGCTTATAATATGTAAAGCATTAAGGTAATAGAATTAAATATTAAATTTTAAATAATTGATTTTGTTAATTGCCATTTTGATTCTTTGTAAAATTTATTAATTACAAACAATACAAAGAGTTAAGAAATTCTTTTCCTAAAAAATATCTGCTATTAAATTTTTCTTATTTATATTTGGTTATTTAAATTATAAATATTATTTAAATTTTAAATGCATTGCCATTTAATGTTTTGTAACTATCTTTATTTATACAAAATTGTTCAATTCTAGAGTACAAAAGCAATCCTTCCCATTGGCCAGGAGAGAAAGGAAAAGCAGTTGTTATTCCTAAAGAAGAAGAACCTTTAAAAAATGAGAAATTCAAATTGAATCAATTTAATTTATTAGCCAGTGATCGTATTGCATTGAACAGAAGTATTATTGATGTGCGAATGGAAGGGTATGCTATTATGTTTGTTTAAAATTTATATTAATCACTTTTGTTTTACCTTGCCTAATACCTTACAGGATTTGAAAAGATTTGATAATCATGTGAATTTTATTAATTGTAAGTGTCATAACATTTAACTATGTCTGAAATTGTGAAAATAAAATAGTAATCTCTTAATGCTTAAATCAGACAAAAATTGTCAAACATTAAGTTTTTTTTTCTTTTAAAAAAAGAAAAGAGAGATACGAGACCTGGAAAGTATTTGAAATACAGTGGAACCTGTAAAAGTGAGCACCTGAGTAAGGTGACCATTTTCTACAAGTTTTATTTAAAGAGTCTTCATAAAGTGACCACCCCTATATAGTGACCATTGGACTTGGTCCCGAGGGTGGTCAATTTAGACAGGTTCCACTGTATTTATTATTTTTATATAATACTAAATATATAGCGCCAGCTTTACATCACAATTTTCATTTTTGCAGCTTGCGAAGCCTTTTGTTTCGATTTGTAAAAAACAAAATGTATGACTTACCCACCATAATTCATATTACATTTCTGATATTTTAGAACTACATATTGCAATTTATACAAGCGCAGTCTACAAATCATACATTGAAATTTTTTAGTCAGTGCAGAGCTTAAAAGTAGAAAGTTAGTTTTGCAGAAAGTTTGCTTTGTTCAGCTGGTTGATGAAAGCAGTTATTACATATAAAACTTTAAAAAAAAAAAAATTTGGTGTGTTGTCTGGTAAATTGACTTGTTGCATATATAGAAAATTTCTTGATATGGGAGAAAAAATTATTTCCGGCGTATTGACCCCAGTTCACTATAAGTTTCCTTTTAAAATCCCTATTGAAATCAAATTTTTGCGCAAATGATAGTTTGCTTGAATATTTAAGTGAGTGTTACTAATGCATAATGAAGTGACTCTCATTTATAAAAATCAGTTAAAAACTTTTTTCGTTCTAAAATGTTAAATTTATTTTTATTCAGAACTCAACTTTTGAAGTTAATTAAATAACCTTTTAACTATCGTTGATGAATTAAATGCTTATTACCATTTAAAATTATGAGTAAACATAATACATAACATTTCAAGTTCATTTAATGTTAATCATAATTTGGAAAATATTGCAATTTTTCTATTTTGATGACTATAAAAATCCCTACAATTCTCACAGTGTAAAATATTTAGCACATTTTGTAGAAATTATCACGAAATTAATATTATTTTGTGAAATCTGCTAGATTTTTTTCTATCCAGGTTGGCAGCAATAGAATTATTTTACGATGGAATTTAACAGAATCATGCCAATTTTTCAAAAAAATTCTACTTGTTTTTGTATGTTTTAGAAAACTCCTTAAATTTGAGTAAATTTCCTTAAAAAATCCTTTTTAAAATAGAATTTTTGCGCAGATTATTGCATGCTTGGATATTTAAATAAGTGTTACTTATACATAATGAAACAAGCCTCATTTATAAAAATCAGTTTAAAACTTCTTTTGTTCTTTATTAAAAATTTAAATATAATTCTAAACAACAAAGTACTAAATTTATCTGATAAATTGATTATTTTACTATCTACCACAGTGTTCGTAAGCTCCATTTGAGGACTTGAAATGCATAACATTTTTGAAATTCAGGGTTAATTGATAGAGATTGTGAACTAAGACATTCAGACCAAAGTTAATTAAAAAAACTTTATTATAACTAAGCAAAATTGTATATTGCAAATTTTTATGTATTGTAAATACAAAGAATAAGAATTTCTAATTCATTGCTCAACACATTTTTTACATATACAAAGTGTTTTCATTGTACATTTTCTGTAAACATATTTCTTCTAATTATTATTATTTCTATAATTCTTATCAAATTCTTAAAAATAATTATAAGAATTATAATTCTTATAATTAATATTATTTCTTCTAAGAACTTGTGCTGTCTTGATTGTTTTGAAATTTTTCTGGGTAAAAACTAACAGAAATGAAGTGAAGCTATCAAAATAAAATATAAGCTACTTACCAAAACATTTTCTTTTTGTCACCCTTTCTTGCACAAAAATGCCACTCTAAAATTTTAGGTACTTGTTTGAAATTTGAATTCACAGTTATTCTGATTGAACTAATTACGCAACAGTTTCTGCAGATATGTGCAACTAATCGAATGCAACACATTGAACACACATTACATTGTAATTTCTGATTTGATAACCTTATATAGCAATAAATTGCTCTCCTGGTCATATGACCGGTTGTGATAGAAATAGGTATTTGACAAGTGTTATTCAAAACAAATAAAATACAAAAAAAGAATATTAACTGTATATAATTGTTAGAAAAAAATCATGCTGTCAAATGTGCAAAAATGATAAGATGATAAGTGCATTTTCGATGCAAAAGTTCTTAAACGGTCATTTGACCAGTTATGGTATGTTTAGTGTTGAGTAAGCCACATTTAATTTATGTTTTAGGTGCAGAAACAAAGAATATCCTCAACTTCTACCTACCACCAGTATTGTTATTGTTTTCCACAATGAAGCTTGGTCTACCTTATTACGTACAGTTCACAGTGTTATTCGCACTTCACCCGCTTCTTTAATTGCCGAAATTATTCTTGTGGATGATGCTAGTGAACGAAGTAAATAACAACTCTCATTCTGCATGCAGGAAATGTTTTTTTTTTTTAAATAAAAGGTTATTTTTACTGAGTAAATTTTGTTTTAGATTATCTTCAACAAAAACTAGAAAACTATGTTGCCAAACTCAGCATACCTACCAAAGTAAGTAATGAATAAGTATTACTTTACTCATATCATTTTCACCTCATCACCATTTTAATTTTGACTTTTACATGACATCATTCCTTTCTATCATTTATAGAGTGTTTAGATCTCTGTTATGCAAATCACTGGTCCAGTGGTTACTGTATGGGGCCAGTGGTTGTGGGTTCGAATCCGACCATAGGCATGGATGTAACTTTCTCTGTGTTCTATGTCCTTTCTGTCGTGTGGTTGTAACCCGCCCTATAACCGAGTTTTTGGTTGTATGACGTGGGCAGCACCGCCGTGGTCTAGCCTCAGGTGTCCACTGGGTAGCGATAAGAGAGTAGCAATTCTGTGGCCCATGGGAAATGGACCCAAGTGCCCACCATTAAGAAAAAGAAAAGAAAGGTCTTTGTTGTAGAATTATGAAAACTCCACTTTTCTAAAAACAGTTTTATTTCCACTTTTGGTGTACTTGTTGAGTTTTGTGAATAATTTTTTCTTTTCAAATATTATTTGGCAAATCGTGAGCTTATTTCTCTGTGTACAGACAAACTTATTTATAGGGAATTCAAAGGAATCTTTTATAAACCCTTAATATTATATGATTTTAAAAATCATAAAATAATATTGCCATTCAAAAATAAAAGATTCTACTCTATGACGTTCAGACTATCATTTAATTCAAAGAAAATCAATTTTGTTTTAAGTCTAAAAAGAATCGTATTTTGAAATATGTTTTTAAAAGTTTAAGTTTTTTTAAATTTTTTATATTTAACTATATATTTTTCTATTGTTATACAAGAAAATTGTTTTAAAGAGGCTTAATTGATGTTTTAGGTGATGCGTACTGGCAGGAGGTCAGGTTTGATAAGGGCCCGGCTTATTGGTGCAGCTGCCACTACAGGACAGATCATAACATTTCTGGATGCGCACTGTGAGTGCACCAAAGGGTGGCTGGAACCTCTTCTGTCTCGCATAGCTCAAGATAGGTAATAATGTATTTTGTTCATTTGGAAGAATTTCTTCAATTATTATGTATCTGGACCGGGATGGCCTGGTTGGTAGGGCACTGGGCCCATGTCCAAGAGGTCGTGGGTTAGTTTTCCACTGGATGAAGTCTCTGGAAATTTTTATGGTTTATATATCCCTTAAATCTCAGATAAAAGTTAAAAACAGAATAAATTTTTTATTATTTTTTTTAACACTTTGAGCCCTCTGGACCAAGCTTTCAAATCGTTCATTATAAGCCCAACTTTATTATACATCTATATAAATTCTTTATTTTGTGATAATGAAGATTGTGTTTGATTTTGCAATGTTTTCAATTAAAATATTTTAAAGTTCTAGTTAATTTGAAGTTCTAAAGTAGTTAATAGCAAAATAAATATTTTTTGCTTGACATACGGAAATTCTTGAATGTGTTGAAAACTTGAGTATGAGTTGTAGGCGTATCATGATTTCATGTAGTATAATATAAAAACGGTTGTGATTTTCTTGTTGGTAAGTAAACTTTTTAAATGTAAAAAACTAAGTTTTTTGCGTTTTAAGAAAATTATCAATGTTTTTTTTTTCTACCAATAGTAATCAAATAAATTCTTTTGCACTGTAGTGGGTATTATTGTTCTCCATGAATTTTGTCTTGAATTAATATCTTGATTAGGACATTAAGTTGTTTTGTTTTATTAAAACATTTTTACAAAACGTTTTATTAGGAAGAGAGTTGTGTGCCCCATTATTGATGTCATCAGTGATGAAACTTTTGAGTATGTGCCAGCTTCAGATATGACATGGGGTGGTTTCAATTGGAAACTCAACTTTCGGTGGTATCGCGTTCCCCAGCGTGAAGTTGACAGAAGAGGGGGAGATCGCACTCAACCTCTCAGGTAAGGAAGATATATATATATATGCATTTTACTATTTTATGTATTACTTTCCGGTCGTTTGATTATTTATGTTAAGTTTTAAAATAAAGTTATAAGCTGCATTAATTTTGATGAAATTTTTTTTCTTTATTTCCTTTTGTGACATTTTGAATTTGTACCTCTGCGTAATTTGAAGCTATAATATGTTAAGCTTTTTATCGAATTACTTTTTAGCTACATTCCGAAGTTAACACGTTCGCTGCCACCGATGCACTAGCACGTCAGAGCAGCACCTCCTGGCATGCCGACGATGTGCTAGCGCGTCGATCGACTGTGATAAGTTATATGCTCTGTGTTAAGTGTGGCTTTGGGAGTTGAACGGAGAGGTTGTTTCGGCACGTTAGTGAAACATTATTTTTTAATTTTTTGTGGTTGGTTTTCAAAACTTTTGTTTGAATTTTTTTATGTGCATGACTCCCAATATCTGTATATTGTGCTTATTATTTGTAAATATTTTCAGTATTGTTTCATAAATGGTACTACATATACTTGAATGGTATTCCGTTTTATTCCTTTTAAGCTGCTATTTTATGCAATATGCTAGTAATTTCTGAGAATATTGATCAGACGCGCTGGAGCGTCAGTGGTGTTCACGAAGACAGGTTGAGACTGTGTGCCACTGACGCTCCAGAGCGTCGGAAAAAAACGCTCTTTAAACAAGAAAATAATATGTTTCTTCGTTTTTCTGGTTTTCCTAGTAAAATATAAGGAGCAATTAAACTATTAAAACCCTGTTTTGTAATCTGGCTTCTGAGGATGGAAATATCATTTTTAGTGGCAGCAAATGTGTTAAATAAACAATGTAAAGTAACAGCAATTAAGAAATTTAATGAAGTTTATGGAAAAAAGAATGTTATTCATCATTTTTTTTTCCAGGACCCCAACCATGGCTGGTGGACTTTTCTCGATCGATCGAGATTTCTTCATTGAGATTGGAAAATATGATGAAGGAATGCACATTTGGGGTGGAGAAAACTTGGAACTTTCATTTCGAGTATGTTACTTACAATTTTTAAACACAGCTATACCAAATGACTCATGGAAAGATACAAATACTCAGTACAAATACATAAGTTTCTGATACTGTTTAGATAATAAAATGGAAAATATGAATTCTTTTTTTTATCAATGTGCACATAATATATTGTGTATAATATGTACAGGGTAAAAACAGATATTTTTATTTCTTATTTTTGTTTTTTTAAAAATGCAGAACCTCTCAAAGCACAATCTTTGGGATATTTAAAGATGATAGTGCAGCTATATTATATTATTTAATTTATTATAGCATAATTTGTTTTATATTGAGCTGTTTCTTATTTCTCCAAGTTTTTTCAGCAACTAAAACTAGTATCTTTATTCTAATACAGTTCACAAGATCGCAGTGAATGTGTGTTTCCTTTTAATATATTGTGTATAATATGTGCTGGGAAAACACAGGGAATTTTTTTTACAGTTATCAGTGGCAGCCCTGACTCAGGGTGTGTAACGTTTTTAAAGAGTGCTTAAAGGTGCTTATTTAATTTTTTAAAAGCCCTTAAAGCCTGCTTTTTCCATTGAGTGTTTTTAAAAAGTGCTTAATTTTCCCTTTTTCAAAATAAGATTTTTCCTTTACTATGTTGATTTTCGCTTCGAATTATGCAAAAAGACACAGTTCACTTTGTTCTATTCAACATTTTCATATTTAATTCAACCCCAATCTATTTCGGCGTATAGTTTGCCCATAGCATATGAAAACGCTATTCGTTTTACATGATTCAAAATTTCATGATTTTTGCAATTGTCAAAAACAAGGCAAAAAGGGTTTTTTTTTGTTTATGACATTAGGGTTAAAACGAGATAAAACCGTCGATTATCAAAAGCTTTCCAACTCTGCCTAATTATGATATTTTTTAAAGTGCTTAAAAATATTTTTTGAGTGCTTGAAAAGTGCTTATTTTTTGTTGAATAATTTGGCTACGCTACCTGTGACTGAGCTTAAACCTTAAGATATTCTTTCAAATGATCAAAATTATGAAAATATAAATATATTCTTTAAGGAGGTTGAAATAAACTCACTGAAAGTTTTATACATCGAATAAAATTACATGTAAAATATGTACTTGTCTGATTCGAACATCATTTTTTTACTTAAACGTTTTTTCTTTTATGACCTATGCATCATTTATTGATGATGAGGATTGATGTAATTTTTTTAAAATCTAGATTTGGATGTGTGGAGGTACCCTGGAAATAGTCACATGCTCTCATGTAGGCCATGTGTTCAGGAAATCTACACCCTACACTTTTCCTGGAGGCACGAGCAAGGTGGTTAACCACAATAATGCCCGTCTTGCAGAAGTTTGGTTAGATGAATGGAAAGATTTCTACTATGCTATAAACCCCGGTGAGTTATTGCTCTCTTCCTATTCACTTAAATGTGCTGGCTACAATTTCTTTATCCAAACTTGTTACCCTCGCCTAGCTGACGTCCAAATGCTCGATTATCATTTCTAATTACACAATGTTGGGTACCCTTACCTGAACAATTGCACCAGGTATCCAGTGTTGGGATGCCTGGAGTAACATCCGTATAAAACTGTATAGTGAAATTATTCATAAAAAATAATAACAGTTTTTGAAACCTGTGAAGATCATACATTTTTAAGCTGATTGAGTAGATTTAATTATTGCAGTGAAAGCCCGTTTTTATATATCCAGTGTTGGGATACCTGGTTCAATATCGCGATTCTTGTAAGAAGAAATTTTTTTCTTGAATTAGTTACAGGGTATCCGCGCACCTGGAAAGTCATGAATTTCGGTATGTAACAAAATTTGTCATGAAATGTCATGATTTTAACTATTTTTTTAAAAAAAATCATGGGAAGTCATGGATTTAGGTCTCCGAAAAATTTCATTCTTAAAAAGGAATCCCCCCCCCCAATTTCACGGTGTTCCGAATATCTGAATTTGTAACAAAATCCCCACTCAGAGTCGTAATTTATTAAAATATAAAAGGTTTTTATCATGTTCTTTAAAAATTATGGTGCTCTTTCAAAAAATGAAAGAGAAACATTATTTCTAGAGCAAAGTATCTTTTAAACTTCTTCTGTGATTTCAGAATTAGTATTATTACTTGTTATTTTTTATTCTATCAATTTAAAATTCTAGCTGAAGCAAGCCAGTCTCTGGCAAATTTTTTTTTTATTCGGAAATGAGAACGGAAAAATCGGGAGTATTTCTTTCCTTTTTGATGAACAAGAAAAGTATCTTTAGAATATAATTCTGCAGGAAAAAAAAAATATTTGTTCAGCTATTTTATTGCTTCAACTCTTTCTTTACTCTGTTTTTTAAATTTAAAATCTATAAATATAGAGATGCAGAGTATAACAGTTTTGGTTACACCTATTATTAATGTTATTATAATGCTTTTTAAATGTATTATTCTGTTTTTATCAGAGAAAATAGTAACTTTGTTAAGTCATGAAAAGTTCTTAGAATTAGTCATAGAAAGTCATGAATTTGAAAATCTAAAATGTAGCAGCTACCCTGTAGTTACTATAAAGGTGTGATATTCTTTATTAGTAGGTAATTAAATTAAAAATGTTAGTTCAAAAAATTATATTAAATAAGAAACAAATATGGTATGTAAACTGTTATTTTGATATCGTTTTTTTTTTTTTTTTTTTTTTTTTTTTTTTTTTTTTTTTTTTNTTTTTTTTTTTTTTTTGCACTTAAAATGTTTAGGGTTTTTCACTTTGTGTCACAATCACCCCTGAAAAGTGGTTATCCAAGTAGGATGAATTTTCATGTCATGTGCAGTGAGGATCACATGGTTTTTACATGTAACCAGGGCCGGATTAACCTATAGGCACACTAGGCACGTGCCTAGGGCCTACGAAATTCAGGGGCCTACGAAAAACTTGGGAGAAAAAAATTTGTTGACAAAAATAATTTAGCTTTAAAAACAACAAGTGTATTTTGCACAAAATTATGAAGATACATATAAAAGTATAATATTTTTCGGTAATAAATTATTTTGCAGAATCTTATGATCTATTTTTCGCGATTTTTGGATTCAACGAAATCTTGTATTAGCTGTCGAATTCCAAAACTACGCAAAATGTCGTATTCAATAGGCATAAGTGCGAGCAATGCCAAACGATCATTGTTGAACGCAAATAATTTTTCATCAATTTTAATCTGGAGAAAGATCTTTCTCCTTTTGCATTTGATCCAAGAATCGACAAATATATACTTAATGCAATGTGAACGTAAGGAAAAGTATTCACAAGTTTATCTTTAACATTGTTATCGATTGAACTAATCATAATGGTATTATCGATATCAACTGCAATATAGGTAGTATGTCGGTATTGCAGATAAAATTCGATAAACAAATTTGTAAATTAAAATCCATATTAATAAAAATGTTAAAAAAAATATGCAAGAAAATTTTTGCATATATTTTGAAAAGAGGGGAGGAGTGGGGGAAGGAGGGGAGGGCCCAAAAACGGCTATGCCTAGGGCCCATGAAAGGTATAATCCGGCTCTGTGCCTAGGGCTTACGAAAGGTATAATCCGGGTCTGCATGTAACCTGTCTATAGTAAACAATAGAATGTTGATGCTTACACAGTTTAACTAAAGAAAACCATGGATTCTTACAACATTTAAACTAAATGCAAATTTTAATCTTTTATGATACATTCAATACCTTTGCTTTCTACTTACAAGGTGTTAACAGAAAAAACCCAAATATAATGTAATATTTTGCTAAATTAACTGCAGTGGATCGACACATATGATTTTTTTAGAAACTTTAATAAAGGGAAAAATGTGCCTTGATTTCGAGAATATTTTTATATATTAAATGATGTATTTTTCAGGTGCTCGTCAAGCTGATATAGGTGATTTGACTGAAAGGAAGAGGTTGCGTTCTGATTTAAAATGTAAAAATTTCCGTTGGTATTTAGAAAATATATACCCGGAGTCTCAAATGCCACTTGACTATTTTTATCTTGGTGAAGTAAGTAGATAAATTTTTTGTTGGTTTATAATTGATTTCTTGAATTTCAGTAAGTGTTTACCGTTTTTTTTGTTGTTGTTGCAATAACTTACAGGTATTTTTTTTTTTTTATGAGAACTGCTTTTTCAATAATTGGCAACTTGAAAACNTTTAGAATTAATGTAATATCTTGAGGCTTATTTTTAATTTGTCCTATTGGTTGTCAGAATGTCAGTATTTTTTAATTCTTATTATTTTATCAAGGCATTTATGTAAAACCTTATATAATTTATCAAACAAATAACACACAATACTATTTCATTGACAATCTGTAAATAGAATACTGAAATAACAAAGGAAAACAAAACATACTGAAATAAGTATATTTTGTTAACGAGTAAGATATTTTTTTTCGAGACCATATATTGACTTGAAAAATAAGTTAAGATTAAATAAAAAATATTTCTTGCATTCATTATCCTATAAGTTCTATTTTAAAAAAAGAGCGTGAAAAATTTCAATAAGATAGTGATATTTATGAAGAATCGTGTCCATTATATTTTAAAATTGAGTTTAAGAAAAATACTATTTTCACTTCAGGTGTTTAAGCCAAAAATTTCCAAAATTCTTTCAGTTTTATTCAATTAATTGGTTTAAAACTTTGAGGCAATATTTAAAGGGAAATAATGAAGATTTGGTTCAGAATTTTCTTTATTTATTTTACAATTGCAATGTAATTTAAAAAGAGCTGTTATTTATAATAGATTGGCTTTGGGTTATACTTAAATACTTTTTAAAGGTAAAGCGTAATTTCCACATTAATTACAATAAACTATCTTTCACAGAAATAGTTCCTATTGTCTTTAGTTTTGAAGAGTTGTAAAATGTTGCTTTTTTCATCACTATAAATTCTATATTATTTTGTTTCTGGACATACTAGGTAAAAAGCTTAGTAACATAACTGCAACTATTTTCACTAAAATGCTAATTCTATTTAGAAAAGCCGATTGTCTTCTCCAGAAACACATTTTTAATGTGAACAACACACTACTAAATCATGTTCTTATCCCCAGTAATTGTAAACCCGATTTGACAACTTTTTAGGGACATATTAATATGTTCCCTTCAGAGTTGTATTTCACTCCATGAAAGAGAACTTACATATGTAGGTTTGCTTCGTTTTAAAGATTCAATTTTCTTCCANTATAAATTCTATATTATTTTGTTTCTGGACATACTAGGAAAAAAGCTTAGTAACATAACTGCAACTATTTTCACTAAAATGCTAATTCTATTTAGAAAAGCCGATTGTCTGATCCGAAAAGACATTTTTAATGCGAATAACACACTACGAAATCACATTCTTATCCCCAGTAATTGTAAACCCGATTTGACAACTTTTTGGGGACATATAAATATGTTCCCTTCAAAGTTTTATTTCACTCCATGAAAGAGAACTTACATGCGTAGGTTTGCTTCGTTTTAAAGATTCAATTTTCTTCCAATACTGCAGCATTTCAAAAAGAAATGTTTTTGGTTTGTTTAGTAAATGTACATACCTGAAACTTGTGCTAATTTAACTATTATTTTTATGTTTATTAAATTTTTTTTTTAATTTCGAAGACAATAATGGACAAAAAAGTTTTGCTATATATTTTTTTTTTGTTCTTTACTTGATTGCAGCTATAAGTGGCAAAAATAAATAATTAATTAAATAAGTAAATATATTTTTTGGTTCATCGTTTTAAGCAAACTTGATTATAAAAATTATTAATCATTTTTAGAAATAAAATTTTTTTAAACTGCTATCCAAGTTTATAAATATGTGCTTATATAATTAAACTTATAATGTAATCATATTAAAACTTACCACTTTTCAGTTGAACTGAACTTATTATGTAATCGTTTTAAAACTTACCACTTTTCAGCTGAATTATGCTTTAGAAAAGCATAATTTAAAAAATTTAGAAATTTATTTAATAATTTATAAAAGCATAATTTAAAAAAGCATAATTTAGTTTATTGAAGCCTGATATACATCTTAAAACATAATGAACAATTATAAAATTGAAAAAATGAGATACTTCGAATCAACCACAAATTGTACTGAAAAGACTGAAGTGTCTTATTCTACTCAATTTGAAATTTCAAATTTTTTTGGAAAAGAAACTTGATTAATTAAATTTTTCCTATTCTGATATTTTTAAAACAATGCTGAATTGTGGAACCTTTACTTATTTCCTATTTTTAGAAGATATCAGTTATGGTTATTTTGAAAATTAAAATTTACCTTTCTGTTCAGTTTATTAAAGAAAACAAAAAATTGGGCTTGGCAATTCAATAATTATACAATGTTTTTCACAAATTTTGTTTTTTAAATGTTTAGTTACAGTTGAAATTAGTGAAGCATTTTAAGTAAATTAAGCTATGATTAAAAACAATATTGAGCCAAATGATTATTTTAGACGCAAAATTGGCTCTTGGAAATGATTCAATGAGCAATAACATTTTAACATGACTTAAGGTGAAATTAATGTTTTTAAAAATAAAAATATTAGTAATTCATTAATTTTTGAGTGCCTTTAAAACCTATCAACCAAACTTCTTGTGGTTAAAAAGCCCCTTTTTTTAAAAAATATTTCATATTATCACAAGAAGTTAATCTTTCTTTTCCAAAATTCTCTTGTTATTCAGTATTGTTTTTTTTTTTTAAATTTATTTATTTATTTTTGTAGATTAAAAACATTGAAAGTGCTAATTGCTTAGATACATTTGGTCGTAAAAGTGGAGAAAATGTTGCGATGGGTTCTTGCCATGGCCTTGGAGGAAACCAGGTAATTACTTTTGCCTTATTGTTTGATATTTTGTGTGTTTCGCTTAGAACTTTTTGATTTTTTTTTTTACAGAAATAGTGATTTATTTTATTAAAGAAATGCAGTCGAACCTCATTAACTCAAAACCGCTTTGTGAAATATCACTTAACATGAAACGCATGTTTGGTCCTATGAGTCAGCAATCAATTATCAGTCAGCAAGTTTGATTAGAGAAACTACCCACTCCTTGAACTAAGTATTTAAGACATCTATCTTACTGGGCTTATGATTTTCTGAAATTTCAGTACTCTTTCGTTATTTTATATAAAAAAAATTGAATAATTCTATCCACATTTTCATAAACTGTGTATTTTAATGAGACCCTCATTAATCTATGATAACATTTAAAAAAAATGCAGTATCAAATTTTTTAAGATTTGAATTTGTCATTACAAAAATTCAATCCATTTCTTAATTACATATAAATAATTAACTATAAGAATTCAATGGTCATTAAATTGTAGTGAATTGGATGAGAACCACAAACTAATTTACTTTCAGCAAAAACGTTTAGTTATAAGTTGCTTTTTTTTACCAAAATTATTTTTAAAAAAATTTTGTTTAATCATTTGAAGCAATCATAAATTTTGGTAGAGGTATAACAATATCGGTAAAAATATTAAACACTTAAATAAAAATTCTTAAGAGCGCAGCTGACTGAAGCATCGAAAAGACATAAAATGGAAAACCAAGAGAAAATTTATGAAAAAGCTGAAGATAGAAAGGACATTAAGATTGACACTTTGTTGAGTTTAAGCCATTAAGATCGACACTTTGTACCTCAAAATCAGATCACTACAACAAAAGTTATGCGGGATATTCCTTTTTTTTATTTTGTACACTATATAATTTTGCTTAGGCACATAGATGGATGTTTGCTTAAGAGGGCGACATACCGCAGAGGAAAATTTTCGTCAAAAAATTCTTTTTCTCCTTCATAACTAATTTAAAAGAGAAAAAAAAGTAAGCTCAGGCAAACCTATAGTAAGTCATGAAATTTCAATTGCTGAAAAAAATACTTCAAAATATTAAAATGCAAGCAAATTATTAGTGAAGAACTTCTCTGTTGGGTAATACTAAGTTATCTCATAATTTGTTTTCATTTGTATATTTTAAAATTTTCTTTTCAGGTTTATCTGTACTCATTTTTTCTACACTTTAAATTTTAAATAAGTAATGAAGGAGAAAGCGACTTTGTGACGATAATTTTCTTCCGCTGTATGGCGTCCTCTTAAGGCAAAACTGATTTTCAATCCTTAAAGTTGATCTGCCTTCTTTCCGATTTTGTCTTCTAACATAAATAACTTGTGACATATCGCATAGGTGTTTGCATATACCAAACGTCAGCAAATCATGTCCGATGACAACTGTCTGGATGCCGCTTCGAGTGAAGGTCCTGTCAAATTATTGCGTTGTCATGGTATGGGCGGTAATCAGATGTGGTCTTTCAGTAAAGAGGTATTTCTTCTTTGGTGTTTTATTCATAATTTTTGTTATGCGACATGATTCATCATATATTTTAATTCAGCTAAGTTTAAAGCAAATAAAGAAACTTGAAAGAAAAAACAGCCATAAAGTGTCTTACATTTAAAAAAAGTGTTTTGTCTTATATTTTTTCTTAAAAAAAATTTCAATTTTGAATTTTTTAGCTACGATTTCTTTGAATTACCGCACAGCAAAAGAAATTCCAAATTAGAAATAAAAAGAAGGAAAAATATTTTTTAAAAAAAATAGTGTAACATTGCTGATAACTGGGGAAAAACACATTATTGTAAATAAGGAACAGATTATATACTGAAAGATATGTTATAGATTACTTATTGTAAAATATATTAAAAATATGCATATTATTGTATTGCATATTATAGTATTGTTTACAAAAATTATAGAATGTGTTTCAAGGTACAATATGCCTTATTATCAAAACGCAGTGTTCCCCGACCTTTTTTATCATAGCGGACCTGTCAACGTTTGATAATTTTTCCGTGGCCCACTGGGTTTTTTATTTTAGATTATTTTGATTTATTAATTTTAATTTAATTGTATTTAAACATGCATTGAAATAAAATACAGTTGCACCAAAAACTAAAGATAAAGTGATTTAACATTTTAACTTACTAGAACGTTAAATCAATGAGTCACGATTGAGAGAGAAGACGAAGCTCTTCATTAGTTCCAATGTAAATTTTGGCCATGCTTTCGTGTTTTTTAATGATATTTACTGTTATGATGATTGATTTTTTAAAAATTAAAACTAATTGAAAGAGAAAATAGTTGCAATGGTTTTCTTTCGTTTTTTTTAAAACTTTTTAAAACATTAAAAAATTTATGGCACTACCTTCGGGGGCCTCTTTTTTTTTTTAAATAAATGAAATTTTAATGGAACACTAATATTTTTAATTTGGGGTATAAACCTATGAATTTAAATTCAGTTTCAATTAAATGGGCGGACCGGGGTTCGGGGAACACTGTCCTAAGGGACATGGTTTAAAAGAAATAAAAATTGTGGGCAATCCTAATAAAATATCCTCATTTTCTAAAAACTGAAACATTTAAAATTCTTTTTTTTTTCTTCAACCAAAAAAATTCTTTTAAATATTTTTAAAAGTAATGTTTAGAAAATGAGAATAGAGTGAAAAGTAAATCTAGTTTTAAGGGATGAAATTTCTTATCCTTTAAAGCTTCAGATACTAACTTTTGCAGTGCTGACATCTGTTAGTTAAGGGTAAAAATAAAATGCTGGTGTTGCCATTGCAGTATTAAAAATTTTAAATATCCCAAGGTGCGATGCTTTTCCCAATCTCCATATTTTATGGGCCAAAAATTGGAAATTATAATATTCCAATCATTACAAACATTTACTTGCACTTGTAATTAACAACACTTCCTGTTGTATCAGCATGTGATCTATTAACATTTTTTGTTATTCAACTAATATTATAATCTAACTAATCAAAAAATTCAGTTTGAAATATTTGTGGTAAGGGAAGGAGATAAATATTTCTTATCTGCCTAAAATTTTGATTTTTAACAATTAGGCAGAAAGTAATCTGAATTACGCCTAGAAAAAGTTAGTTCCTTTAAATAAAAGAAAACAAACAAACATTTAAAACTATCTTTTTTTGAGTTTATTAAAGATTTGCTTTCTTCCTCTTTTATAGATTATTTAAATTTGTGATATATGTAACTTCTCAAATATTATTTTGTGATTTTTTTTTTATAAGCTGTTTATAATTTATTTTGATGATCAAAGGAATTTTAATGTAAGGCTAAAACATTTAGCATGCTATTTTTTCTTTTTTTTAAAGCCTTATTAACTTATTTTTTGGAGTGAGAATTTTTCGAAATTATACATATAATAATAAATAATAAAAAAATATTATTCCTTAAATGTGAACTATTTTAATAAGTTTATTTTTAAAAATATTCCCCCTAGTATTTCAATTATTTTCAGTTTAAATTTTTTTTTTTTTTTAGATTTTGTATTGTCTAAAATTTGACTATCCTCTTACTTTTTCAAATACATAAATTAAAAGTAAATATACTTTTCTGACAGGATTTCTTAAGTAATTTTCTAGTTAATTGTAATATAATTGAAAGAGTGTGATGTAGCTCAGAATTAAGTGGTTAAGTACACAGGGAATTTTTTTTCTCTCCAGATTTAGTGACTACCCTGAATGGAGAAAATTTGAGATGGGTCACAAATATTGAATAAGTATTATCAATGGAAATTTTGAAATATAGAATTTGAGTATCACTTGAAAGAAATTATATATTAACCTAATAATTAAATGTCAGCTAATTATTTAATGATAGTTATTATTTAGTGGTTAAAGTTATAGCTTTACAAAAAAACTAATAATAAAACTCTGTCCAATTTTGTAGATTTAGATAATTGCGTTTTTGAATTTGAAAACACAATTAAGTATCTCAAAATTCAGTCACTTAGTTTTTAATAAGGTAACAGGGTGCATAGTGTTTTTAAAAAGTGCTTAAAGGTGCTTATTTCGTTTTTTAAAAGCCATTAAAGGTGCTTTTTTCATTGAGTGTTTTTAAAAAGTGCTTAATTTTCCCTTTTTCAAAATGAGATTTTTCCTTAACTATGTTGATTTTCGCTTCGAATTATGCAAAACGACACAGTTCACATTGTTCTATTCAACGTTTTCACAATTAATTCAACCCCTATCTATTTCGGCGAATTGACAGTCCGTAGCGTATAAAAACGCCAATCGTTACACATGATTCATAATTCCGTGATTTTTGACAATTGTCAAAAACAATGCCAAAAGTTTTTTTTTTTTTTTTTTTTTTTTTTACATGATGCTTAAAACAAGATAAAACAGTCAATTGTTAAAAACTTTCCAACCCCTTGCCTAATTATGATATTTTTGAGTGCTTAAAATATTTTTGGGTGCTTGAAAAGTGCTTTTTTGTTGAATAATTTGGATATGCACCCTGGGTAATGCCCTTTTCTAAATTGTCTTACTCATTAAGTTCATATCAATGTGTAGATATCAAATATTCTTTTACCACCTTTGTATTTATTGAGTGAACGGATTGAAAACAATGTTGTTTACTTGAAATTCGCTACTCTATTTTCTCCACAAAACACATCTTAAGTGATGAAAGCAATATTCTCAATTTCAGGAACAAACAATCACACATTCCCAGACGGGCCGTTGCTTAGATAAGCCAGACGATGATGATATCACACTTCCCACACTCAAGAAATGTGATGGTCGGCAATCACAAAAATGGGTTATGAACACCAACTTCAAGTGGCAAGCTGACACTTCCCTCTAATATTCCAATAACAATGGGCTCTGTTACTTAATAATCACTGCAAAAATTTTCCTCTTTTTCTTTTGTTCGTTTTTTGTTGTTATTTATTGACTTTTCATTTGATCAAGTCTAATAGTTTTACTTTTGATAAAAACTTATTATTTTAAAGACCAACTACAACATTCCATATATATCTATTGTTTCATATTCTTTTAGTAAATATGTTTTCATATTGTACCTGGTTTTTCTTTTGAGAAATGCACTCTGCAATCTTTTTAAGGGGTAAAAAACAATAATTGTAATAAAAAGTATATATTTTGGTATTCTGTTTTTGTTTATTTTAAACATAAATGTCTTTATTAACAGCGTATGAATTTATAAAGTAGCTCCCTGAATTTCATGTGTAATAAAAAAGCATGGGTGCAAGTTGGAAAAAAGGCCAAGACTGAAAATTTTTTGACTGAAATACCTAACATATACAATACCCCCTCGACATATTCAAACTATCTAAGAAAGCTTTACCATAATACATCAAGTTTAAATACTGTACAAAAAATATTTATTCATCTGTCTTTTGATAAAATAACAACAGGACATAAGAAAGTAGACCAATAACGTAGACCTAAAAAATATTTTTAGGGACAGAAAAAAAAAATTCCGATTTCAGTCATCGAGTCAGTCTTGTTTCCGTCTTACTTCCGTCCGCGGACATTTTCGAAAGACGGAAATCCGTCCTGGGGACGGAAGACTTGCACCCATGTAAAAAAGAAATTTAACATAATTTGTTATATTAAGTATTATAGGTATAATTAAATATCTTAATTAACTTCCATTTATTACTTATAAGCCATATATATATATATATATATATATTTTAAATAAAACTATTTACAATTATAGAATTTTGTAGATATTTTTTTTCATTTTTTTTTTTGTTCTTAATGTAAAATTAAAATGAATTTTGTTTCATCATGCTGCTGTAGTTTTTTTTAATCTTATAAATTGGAAAGAAAAAACAAAAAACATTGTAAATATGTTAAATTAATAAGTGTAATAGACTGAAGCAATTTTGGCTTTGCTGCAAAAACAAACATTTTTACTTGTAATATTTTCTTCTAACATTTTTACTAAATAGTCTGTACTTTCCTAAGTTTTTTAATTTTAATTACAAAGGGATAAACTTTAACACTGAAACAAAAAACAGAAACTTCAGTTACTTTGTTTTTTATGGAAGTTATGGAGTCATTATTCTTCACGTCTGTTTCAGAAAACATTTGTGACCAATTGAAAAACCACCAGCTGATGTAATACTACCACTATAAACGTTTCAGAAGCCACTTTTAAACCACTCTCAATTCATTTTCTTAACTTCCTGTACTTAAATATTTGCTTACATATATGCTATATTGCCAAAATTTTAAATTTTGTAGTGTAAAAAGGACAGAATTAAATCGGAACTTTTTAAAAGAATAAAATGATCTTTTGATTATAACCTCCCATGCATATAATGATTAGTTCCTGTTACTGTTCCATAGGTTAAAACGTTGCTCACAGTGAATTTGATCCTAACAGCCAACAAAACAACCAGTGTGTACACAGTGCATTAAAACTATTATTGTTGAAAGTCCCTCTCATTGGTTGCGTTGTTGAAATTTGGAGAGAAAGGTACCAGCTGAGGTGCTGTCTGTGTCATTTGGCGAGGGTCAAAATTACTGTTCTTACCAAAATTCCTACCATAGCCATTAAAAGATGGAGCCCACGGTTTTTAAATGCCTGCTTTCTAATACCCATTCTAATCTATGCCAATATAAAGTTTGATATTAAATTTCATTTGATTTTGAAGAAAGATACTTTAAAAACAAATGTTACACATTTTTTCCAATTTAAACGAAATTCTTTTGTTGAAAAAGAATCTTCGATATTAACGCTCTAATAATTTTCCTTTAATTCTGCCATTTTAAAAATCTTACATATTTCAGATTGCCTACTGAGAATAAAATAAAAACTTAATGGAGCTTCTTTTATTATGTATCTCTGTGAAAACTATTTAATCGGTATTTTACAAGATGATCATAAAATTCTTTCCAGTTCCTAGTTTTAAAACACGATCTTCATACCCATACTTTATTTTATTATTGCAAACATATTTCTGAATTTTTAAGTACAATATTAAAAGAAAAGTACTCTAATATGGAATTATAAAAAAAGCATTGAATTCTAAATCCTGGTTGTCTTTTCTTTTAGCCTGATTTCAATAAATAGGGAAGTTATTCTTTATAAAATTATTGGTCAACCTGCTGTTAAGTTTAGGTATAAAGCAATACAATTTATTTTGTTTCTTTGAAGGATTTTTAAAAATAGAATAACTTTCAAACTTCATAAATCCATAAAATGGTGAGATTTATTTATTTTATCTTTTTTTTATAGTTAATAATGGTATATTTCATTTTCAATAAATTTGAACCATGCATTTCCATGCGTTATGTACTACCGTAGAACAAATTTGAAAATATTGTTATAATTTACTTTTGTAAAATTTCATTATAGTTTGTAGAATATAACTCCCCATCTGGATCTGTGGCGGTGACTATGGGGATTAACTATAACTATTTCAAGTAGGTGTGTGGGGTTATTGTTTAAGACCGGTTTGGTCTTAGATCAGTGAGAAAATGTGAATATTTTTCTCCAGTTTATTGTGTTAGCCCTAGAATGAGGAGAAGCTGCCCTCCCTGAAATTTGCTATTCTTGTTTCTATAGCAGCGGACGGCCTTAGACAAACTATAGCCTCTCTTTGTTATAATGTGATACAAAAAGGCGGTATGTAATTTACTCCTCTCTTAATATAACACCAGTAATTGAGGATGTTTGAAATAAATGAGACATGTGTGGAAAAATTTTTTAATTGATACAGTGTCATTAAATTTGAACATTCATCAAGAAGAAGAATCCTCTCCTGGAGGAAAGATATTGGAAGAGAGGGTGTCCCTTCGAGGTTCACGTAGAGGGTGCAATTGAGAGAGGACGTGCCTCGCATATTCCGAATGGAGAAGTCCTGCATCACGCAGCTGCTGCTCCAGTCGCACTCTAGGATCCCTGTGAACCTGCAAACACAATCATTCCTGTCTTAAGTGAATCCAAATTTAACAAAAAGACTACCAAATACACTGAGGTAACAAAAGTCCTGGGATAGCAATATGCAAAGTTGCAAATCACTTTTATCATCTGAGAATGTTTCTGATGTATTTATAACCACAAGACGAGAATTAATGGGCTTTGAACGTGTAATAGTAGTTGGGGATAGACGCATGGGATATTTCATTTCGGAAATTTGTGAAAGAATTCAACCTTTATAGATGTAACAGTGTGCCGAGAATACCTAATTTCAAGCATAACCTCCTTGGTCAGAGGCCATTACATAGTCCACCATGGACAATGTAGTGGCCAACCTGCTGCACTTAATAACCACGTGTACTTAGAATTGTCAGTCTTAACAGTTACAGACAAGTAACATTGCATAAAATAAGAGCAAGCATCAATGCGGGATGTGCCCATTGGGACAATGTGATGAAATTTGGCTATAGTGAAATCTGGCAGCAAAATAACAACTCGAGTACCTTTGCTTACAATTATAACATCACCTCCAGCTCCTTTCCTAGGTTCGTGACCCTATTGGTAAGACTGAAATAATGTAGCTTTGTCAGATGATTTCAGCTGGTCTTAACTAGTGAGAGAGTTAGGTGCGAAGCAGACCCCGAAGTCATGGACCCAAGTTGTCAATTATGCATTGTGTAATCTGGAGATGGCTCCATAATGGTGCGGGCTGCTTTTTTTACGGCATGGACTACTGGCTCCAATGGTTCGATTGCATCAATCATTGACAAGAAATAGTTATGTTCAGTTACTTGGAGAACACTTGCAGCCATTCATGTACCCAAACAACGATGGAATTTTTATGGATGACAATTCGCAATGATTGTTCGCGACTGGTTTGAAGAACATTCTTGACTATACCAGCAAATAATGTGGTCACCTAGATTGTCTGACATGAATCCCTTCAAACATTTATGGGATGTAACATAATCGGGAAGTCAGTTCATGTGCAAAATTCTTCACTTCACACTTTCGCAATTATGGACATCTGTAGAGGCTTCACGATTGAATATTCCTGCAAGAAACTACCAGCTACTTGTTGAGTTTATGCCACGTCGAATTGTTGCCTTAGTAGAGTTAGATGAGGTCCATGCCTTTTAGACCATTATTAGACATTAAGAGCCATAACTTTTGAACTGACTTTTTTTTTTAATCCCTTGACTTTTGTCACCTTTGTCAATGCTTGTTGAGGAGCTAATCCTTCATAAAATTAACCAGAATTTTTTTTAACATTTTGTATAGTATTTTTGCTATTAGAATTTCACTGAACTAATGATTAATAGTGAATGCTAATCTCTCTTATGTGAGTTGAGGTCTGTATGAAGGCGCCTTTTCTGACCAATGTCAATGAGTATATCTACTTAAATTTTAAAATGTTGAAACAAATAGAATGCCCAATGTTCTTGTGAACCAATATTATAATATTGGTTCACAAGATTTATTTACAGAAAATAGCTGGCCTAAATCACTAACAAAATGTGTTTATTTGTTTCTTTTAAAAAAAATCAGTGTAATTAAATAAATAATCCTAAAAAACTGAAGTGAAAGATTAACTTGATTAAACTGACGTGGAGATAATTTTGCATAGTCGAAAATGAATCTAATGGGTTGAAAATTATCGGTAACGAAGCCGGCTAGTCAACTGTAAGCGCAATCGTATCCTCCACTTTCTCCAAAAATTGCTCGAAAATCCTCGTAGGATATAGAAATCACAGTTGCCCGAAATATCAGCAACTGTTTCTCTTCGAGGAAAGAAAAATTGCTTATAAATGAGAGCAGCTTACATTTGGACCAATCAGCAGGGCTTCAAGTGCTGCGCATTTTGCGCCAAATCGGTATATTTGCGCATTACTGCGCAGAAACGACATTTTATGTTAAATTTGCGCCGAATCTGCGCCAAAAATGTTTNACCAATCAGATTGTTTGCTTTTTATGACGTTTCAGTTCTATGTGATGATGTTTACAAATGTAAATAAAAATGGCTGCGACGTTGATGAAGAAGATGAATGAAATTTTGAGCTAATATATTGAATTAATTTATAAAATAAAACGGATATCAATTCTAGAGCGTCTGTGATTTACTTTTCCTTCCTTTACAAATATCGTTAAGAAACTATGACATTATAGCATCACAAAAAAAATATTAGCCAAAAGTTGAAATATTGTAAAAAATATTAGTCAAAAGATTTATGTATATGGAACAAATATTGATTTGAAAAGATGGGTGAGCATCCTAAAATTCACAATCACTTCTTTTTTAACTATGCAATGGGCTTTTTTTAATTCCTGTTACCAGAGAAACTAAAGCTGTCTCATTTAAGTTCCTATGAATGTGTAATTTCAATTATTAAAATTTTACATAAGCTTCAAATCATAAAATGAGCACGTCAGACTTGTTCTAGAATTAAAATGCTAGTATTATTTCCTTTTTTTTTAAAAAAACAAGACAAAAACATTTCTAATCAAATATGATGTAGAAAAATTGTGTGCATTAAAATTAAACATGTCTAATAAACTAAACTGAATTACACTATTTCTAAACATAAAAAAAATATATATACTATGTCTGTATTAAACCATTAGTTTCAACATTTTCATCTTTACTGCTTCCAGTTGTTCACACTTTTTTAAATACCTATACAAATGTAGCTGAAATGACCTCACACATTTTCTAACGACAGCTCATGCTCATCTTGTCCCGCAGTGGACTGATCATAAAGACACGGTTCCCAGTAGAACACCGAAGTCAGGCATCACTGGCTTCGGTCTGTAAGCGGGTGGGTGACCACTTTGATCAGTCTGCGTAGGGACCGAAGGGGAGCGGTATCGGTCCTCGTTAAACTGTTCTACAGTAAAGTGCTCGAATTCGCGTCGTCGGGCTACCAAAGTAGCTGTGCCATCCCCTCTGCAGAGGATCAAAATTGTGATGGCATTTCTTCAGATCATCCTCAGGGATGTTTTCTAGCCAATAGCCCATTGTGTAGCTCTAGTGCGACGTAAATAAAGTACCTGCCTACCAGAAAGGAGTTTTAAATTATTTCGTATTTTAGTATTATCAGATTCACTCTTCGTTAAGAACCCAAAATTTCTCGCAAATTATAGACATATTTAATGTGTTACTTTTTTCTTTGAATCGCTTATGTAGAACTGGGAATGTATATATAAAAATATTATATAGAAGAAAATGCATGCATCATAACATACACAGTATAATGTCTAACATAAAATATACAATTCTATTCTCTAAAAAGTAAAAAAATGTGCTCCCCCACCCTTTTTTAAATTTTTTTCCTTTCACATTACATCTATGCTTTTTTGATGGTCACAGTCTGATCACTACATTTGTTTCTCAACAAAAAATTTATGACTTAAAACAAAGGAATTTTGCATTGAAACGCATAAGTGATTTTACTGAGGGCAACTATGGAAATGTCACTACAGAATGAAGGTAACACATTTATTAAATAATAGTTAATATTAATTACTATTTTTTTAGTCTAGTTTGCCCTAGTTTTGAAAATATTTATATTTGTAAAAATACGAATTTTATCAAAGACACCTTAAATGCTCAATTCTCACAAAATTATTAATCATGCAGTCAGACCGTTGGTATTTTTCAATCGATCAAATGTGAAGTTACTAAAAATAATCCCATAATCAGTGCCCTTATAGATATAAATATATATATCTCAGGGTTGAGTGCAAGGCATAAGAAAACCTTAATGAATTGAAATAATCTTTTATTTAATGCATTTTTAAGAATTGTCGGAGCCCAAATCGTGCCGAAATTTGTATGCTTGACTTTTTATCCTAGGGAAAGTCGCCAATCCTAGGGAAAGTTTCCAATCTATTGCTTTAGGTCTCGAGGGAAGGGGAAGTATTAATAGTTATAATTGGCCTGCTAAATAGGGTCGAGGGAAATTTAGCTTTCTCACGCTTAGTTACAGGGCCTTAAATATGCCTTAAAATGTTTAATTATTGCATACTTGAACTAAAAATAGATTAAAAGACAGGATGTGAATATTTAAGTGTGAGAAAGAGCGTTTAGTTTAGAATAATAAATTAAGAAAAATATTTATAGAAAAGGAATAACATAAAAAGATTAGTTGGAGCTTTTCACTTATGTTTTTTTTATGCAATGCACTCTCTGCCCTGACATATATATTTATATATACACACCGAAGAGCCATTACATTATGACCACCCACCATCTATAACAATGGGCTCGCCCAGGTTTTCATGGTTTCTCGCCCAGGAACAATGTTTTCATGGGACACATTAGAACAATCCCTGACGGCTGTAAGCTACTTGAACATAGTTTCAAACCAGGTTCACCCATTCATGGCAACAGTTTTCCCTGCGGGGGATGGTGTTTACCAACAGGATAATGTACCGTATCATAAGGGTCGAATCGGCATGGATTAGTTCGAGGAACATTCCAGTGACTTTCAAGTCATGTCTTGGCCCCCAAATTCACCTGACCTTAATCCAATAGAGCATTTGTGGTCCTACTTGGAAAACCAAATTCTTGCTGCCCCTCGCAATGTGAGGGAATAGTAGGACCAGTTGGTGAGCGCTTGGTACCAGATACCTCAAACTACCTATCAGCACCTTGTGGAATCAATGCTACGGCGTGTGCTAGCAGTTTTGAGGGCTAAAGGTGGTCCTACATGTTATTAGCCGGGTGGTTATAATGTAATGGCTCTTCGGTGTATATATATATAAATGAAAATAAGAAAAAATAGTGAGTGTGTTGGGTGTAGAGCTAACCTCAGCATCGAGGACTGTGCGTAGTTCATGCAAAGCCTTGACTGCTTCTCCCTCGCAATTGGATTCCTTGCGTGCCAGTGAAGCAACTGTGTCTTGCTCAAGCCTCGTCTTGTTTTCAGGCACCTAAAGTGTGGGTGTGTGCAAAGACTAATATGAGAATAACATTAGCATGCATCATACAATACTCTACAATCACAGTTGTTGCTTCTACTGAATGACGAGAATTCGATTTTTACTTTCTTTCCTTATTAGGCAATAAAAATAACTTCTCACTTTTTTTTGTGACATGCAAAAAAGTGTGGATGTTGGGGGTGGGGACGTTATATGCCCCCCTGTGGAGAAATCAAAAAACAAAGTTAATTTAATGAAATTAAAAAACAAAACAAAATAATGGAACCATATATACACATAAAAATCTAAATGCATATTTTAAATTAATTTTTTTACTGTTAAAGTACGCAACAATTATTCTGGGATAAAAAATATATTATTTCATACAAAGTATTTATTTTTCACTAATATTTAAAAATTCGAAACTTTACTGAAAAATGAGATGAAGCTGCTAAATTTTCTGATGTAAAAATTTTTGATCTAAAACTTCATTATCAAATTTGAATGAAAATCCTAAAATATTTTGCTTGTTATTAAATTCTATTTCTAATTGTAGGTCCTACAATTCATTTTTTTTAAATGCTCTGGCATAAACAGCCTTTTATTTAAAGCTGAAAATAAAAGCACAGATATTGCATAACCAAAATTATTTTTTACTATTTTTATCAATCTTTCTTTTTTTTGGACTTTTTTTAATTTATCGAAACCTATATTTTGAATGCTCCTTACAATAGAATGATTTCAATAAATGAACCCCTCTTTTTTTTATTCTTGCATAATTTTTTAGTTTTATCATTCAATAACGTATCTACCATCCGAAACAAAAGTTAAATAATCCATCTACATATTATTTTGAAAACTTTTCTTGTCTCAGATAATGCAGCCGGGGAAGTTTGTAAAAGTTTGGGTAACATAGCTTTAAAAAGAGACATCGAAACATAGTTTTAAAAAGAGAAAGAGACAAAATATTAAAAAAGAAAAAAAAACGCTTAATTATTGGAAATTACCCTTGCCTTGTACACACGTATGGGTTAAGAATAAATCAGCGGCTCCCAGAAGGTATTCTGATCACAAAGATTCCGAGAGTTAGAATTTTTTTACCATTAAAAATTATATATATATTTAATAAATTAATAATTTATTGAATATTTCGGTTGTTTGTATCAACTTTGTCAAATGACATTGGAAAAAAAGTAATAAAAAATGGAAAAAAATATTTTCAATAATATGTTGGATAAATTATGAAAAGGATATGCATTTCCAAAAAATTCCATCTATATTTCTTATCGAGGTTTGCAATTTAAAATCAAACAATTAAATATAAGAATTATGTTTCGTTCATAACTGTTTTCACGTTGGATATTGTATTCCTTTTAGGCATACTAAAGAAGAAATCATAATATTTCATTCTTCGCATTAAATATTTTCAAAATAATTAGTAATATTTTTTATTAGTACATTTACTGTTGTTAATGAACATTTTTTTAATGCTAGGGTTCGGTCAAGGAAGCTCGATGTTTTAAGATTTCCAAACTCGCGTTGTAAAAGGGGTGCTAGTGTATTTATCCGAGCAACAACACTGTTATTGTAAAAAATAAATAAATAATAACAAATAAATAAAAAAAAAGAGCATGATGATCTTACGTGTCTTTTCTTATCCCACCTGTTTTCGCAACTGATCAAGACGCTGCTGTCTGTGTTTCTCCTCTTCTCTCAATTTGAGCATTCTTTCTCGACGTTCCTTCTGATTCGCATAAAAGAGTTCTGTTCGATATCGAACCCTATAAAGGATTGATCTTCCTTAATCTGGCTACAACAGAAACACAACACTTACAGATAGAACGACCCTCATGGTCCGGTCGAAAACGTATCTTATACCGTTAGGTTATTATGTAGCAAGCGTGTACAAGAATACCCATTTTAACAAAGCAATGCTTTACTTGATAGAAACAATACTTTACTAAAATGGGTGATGATGCAAAAGTACCCTTTAATACACTACTTTATGGGTGAAAAATGCATTAGAAACCCAGAGTCAAAATTTTTGATGGTTTTCTATTGATGGACCAACATAATCTTGATGGCAACCATCAATAATTCCATCACGAACCATTATATTTTTGATGGTATCCAATAACCATTACCAGAATGGTTTATTCCCAGACCAGGTTTATACCATTACCAGATTCGGACAGATATATGATGGTTCAACATAAGAATAGCAACTTGTTTTGATGGTTTATTCATGATTAGAAAAGAGAAATTTTCATCATAATTTTTTAGAATTCAAATATTGGAACGATCATGAACCATCATCACCCTAATGCAGAAATTAGAACTTAATTTTGATGGGCCAACATTAAAAAGCAAACAAATTATTTTGATGGTATATTCCTGCTTAACCAACAATAATTATTATTAAACCATCATGGAAATGCATTGTTGTACCATTATGGACCATCATTGTATCATAAATATCAAATGATGGAACGATGATGAACAACCATCTTCCCATTGTAGGAATTCGGATTGATTTATGATGGTACAACATAAAAAGAACCCAAATTGTTTTGATGGTATATTCAAGCAACAAGAATTCCCACTAAACCTTCATGGAATTGTATAGTTGGCAATATCATGGACTATCACTGGTCATCATGGTTTGTTGGTCCATGAGAATCAAACTTCTCTTGATGGTTAGCCATCAGAGTATTAAAGTAGCATTTACCATCATGGAACGATGGAAGTTCGTTGGCATGTCAAAAACCATGAATGGAGCCATGAACCATAACAGAATGTTGGACCATCATAAATCGCACTGAAACCAACAAATACCATCAAAATATTTTGATGGAACCATCAAGAGTTTTGACTTGGGAATAAAATCCTAATTTTTTAACTACTATTTTTGATAAATAACGCATGTCGGGGGATAACTTCGAAGGCCACAAAATAAGACTAACACAAAGAGTGAATACAATTTTCAAACAAGAAAAGTGTGATTGATAAATTTATTTGCATCCTTTGAAGAAAAAATTACAGAGAGTATGAATGGCCATTATATTATTACCACCTAGGAATTGAGATAAAAATTTAAGGATCAGCTCACTCATCCTATTTTTCAAGGTGTTTTACATTTAGTGTGTATATTTCGATAATAAATATTTGATGACAAAAGAAATACTGATAATTAAATAAATTCTTTGAAACTTCATCTAAATCAGAATATTACAGTTTAGTTTAGTATATCGGAATGAATGGTTGAGTTCTGATGATCATTAGATAAATATTGCATCTAGGGACGGGATTCTATGCTTAGGTTGTTATAGTCGATTTACTGGGGTTCGTACTAAACAGTATAGATTGTACTTACTACTGGGCAACACCAACCACCACGTTTAATGAAAACTTCATTCATATGGTTTAGAAAAATCAATGCGGAATTAAATTTTGATAATTTTATTTCAGCTTATGAGTACAGTAGGTTATGGGTAATTTAAAAAAATAGGTTATAAACCTTGTATTTTATAAATAAGCTCTAGTTAAATTTTTTGTATTTGTAACATGATAAAATTAAGATTTGAAATATGCATGATAAGATAAAGATAATTTAATAAGATAAATTTGTAAGATAAAAAGTAAGATAAATTTAATAAGATAAAATAAAATAAATTTAATAGGATAAAAAAATATAAATTTAATAAGATAAAAAAAGATGCATTTAATAAGATAAAATAAGATAACTCAAGTTTATCACAATCCTTGCAAAATTCATTAAAAAAATCCTTCTATTTTACAGGCTTGTATTGTATTGTTCCCCTTTAAACTATGAGGGTGAGTAGTTCATCATTTTTCCCCCCTTATCTTCACTTTTTTGTTGCCAAAAAATGAAAAAAAATTCAATATTTCAATTATTTATGATGTTTAAATATGAATGATTCTGGTTTTGTGTGAAGACTCATGGGGGTATTATCCTTATTCTCTCTCTCTCTATCCCCCCCCTTTTAAATAGGATTTTAAAAAGGACCGAAAATTGTTTTTTTCCCTTCACATTATGTTTGAACACTCCTGCGTATTCAAGTGATCATCCGTAATTAAGTACATCATGATTTCTACACGAGATATAATATCACACAAAAGTCATAATTTTCAAAAATTTAGAAAATCATATTTCTGGATGATGAAAGAATTTTAAAATAAAACTGTTTCTAAAGTGTTTTATAATAAAAAAAAGGTGCTATAATTTATTAATAAAGGTGCCAGTGATTAAACAAAACCTTAAAGGAATATTTTTCTTGAAGTTTTAATCAGAATGTTTATTGAAATGTCAAGAACTACAAGAGCACATCAAAACTTTATACAAATAAAATTCCAGAATCAGTTTGTAATGATATCACACTAATATGCGAGAAATTTGATGAATTGAAAACATTATAAGATAAAAATCATAGGCATTTGGTTCCGAAAATACATAGCCTTTAAATTAATTTCCCATGCATGACAATTTTGATATGATAGGCAAAGTTAAATATTTTACTACGAATATTTTCCGTACACCCAAACCAAAAAACAATTATAGAGAGCAGTGATTGCACAAAACAGTTTGATCACGATAAATTACTTAATCGAAATATCAAAAGCCGGGGAATGGTAGTTTATCTAAATATTGATACTTTTCGATTAAAAAAATTTAGCTAACGAGATTTATGGAGAGTAGCCCGTGGCGTTTTCCCCATTCAATGATCGCTAAACAAGACTTGTGTGGAAAGTAAATTAGTAATGATTTTTGAGCTTTCGCGGATTTAACCCTTTCGTGACTTTTATTTCGACCAGGGCCGTTTTGATAGCATGCAGGGCCCCCGGGCACAAAAATGTTTTAGACCCCTTAAAAATGAACTAAAAAAAAACTTCACATACGTAATAAAATAAATCATTTTTAAGATATGATGCAATAATTTTAACAAATTTAAACACATTTTGTTGATTACCTAAAAACTCAAAAAAAGCATCCTTAAACTATGCACAATTTTAAAAAAAAAACATTTGAAATGCTAACCAGTTGTAATCCTCAAATAAAGAAATATTTTTCAAAACAATGGAAGTTAATCAAAATAATAAATTAAATAAACATAAAGGTATAACAAAAAAATTCAAAAGCTATGAATAATTTTTTTTAAAGCTAAACAGTTATTAAAACATCTTTCAATGCCCAGATGAAAGATAAAAATTTGTTATTGCAGGCCAAGAAAATGTATACGCCGCATAGTTGTGCAACGGAATCTATGAGAAATATACCTATAACGTTCGAATATGAAAGCCAATAAATGATATTGGAGAACCCAATTTTGGAAGCACTTCGGAGACGCACTGAAATCGCCAGAATCTTAAGTGAAAAAGAAGATACGAGTTACCAAGAAACAGATGGAATTGTCACCAAAATACAGACACGGAAAGGAACTTCGTAGTGGTTTATTCAGAAGCGAGGACTCATACCAAAACGGACGAACTTCGGAAATCGTCGCCAGTGGAAAGGAAGAGCATTTGAGGAAGCACTGTCTTGGAAGAATTTTAATGGAAAATCGAGGTGCAAAAAGTCAGTCAAATGCACAAAATTTCAATGAGGGGATGAACCAAAAGTCTAAAATCAAAATAACAGAGGTTCCTGCATTGAGCAAGAGTAGCAACTCAAGTTGAACAATTGTGTAAGCACAACTTGGCCTTAACGGAAAATTATTGAAACCGTTGGTTGTCTCAAGACTGAAGACAATGGTGGTCAAAAAATGATTGGTCAAAGAGATGCCAACACAAAATAGGCAGATAATATAAAAAAAAAATTGTCTTGGATCAAGAAACACTGAGATAGCGCATCTTTGTAAGCTGAAAATGTCTGCAACCGAAATAATAAGGGGCATTAAGATACAAATCGGCAACAGAAGTAAGTTTGAAATTAACGAAAACATTCTGAAAGAAGGTTTGAAAAATGCGTAGCTGTTGTGATGACCATGGACCATTGACGATGGAAACCAGCGTAATGAAGATAAAGTGAGAAGTTGGCAAAGTAATGCAAAGTGTAGTCAAATCAGCACTTCCTGAGAGCAGAAGAGATGAAATGGTGAACTTTGTTCCCAATAATGCTACAACAGGGATGGAAGTCAAGAGAATATTCCAAACAAAGTTTCGTTGGTAGCACTTAAACCTATAGTGCATCAAAAGTTCATAGTAAGTCTCGTAGGAATAATAAATTAAAGATAAATGCACTAGGTGCTATGAAGAAAAAGGCATCAAAGGAGAAAAAAAGCCAAACCTGTTAAGAACGAAAAAAAAATCTTAAGTGAGAGTATCAGTAAAGAAGCAGGGTACTAAACAGTTGAAGAGAAAAAAGGAACCTAGAAAAAAGAAATGGTTGGTTTCGTGGTGTTCTATACACACAAAAGATATGAATCAAGCAAAATGATCGCACATCGAAGTGTGATAAAACTGGCAACAAGAAACAAGTTTGGAACAGTAAACGAAAAACACGACCAGAAACTGTAATCGAATGAAGCAAAATGATCGTTTAATGTAGAACAATAAAAATTGCAAGAAACTTGAATTAATTAGGATCCTGAAGCAAGGTATACTCAAAACTAAATACATTTGGTAACCAGATATGAATGGCCAATGCAAATGGCGATCATGTTTTGGTGTTGGATATATAGAAAGAGTATAAGGCGAGTGAATCTAATTGAAGGTTTGGAACAAGTACTAGAGAAAGGGAAAATGAGAGAGAAAAATCAGACTATATATGGATTAAATGAGTCTCGAAGAAAAAAAAATTGTTATTTTAGGAACATTTCAGGGCTTAATAGTTAGACTTGAATTTTGAGGAGAAAAAAATAACCTAATTGAAGTTTGTGACAAAGAAAAGTATCTGTTGGGGGGAAAAGGATTGAGTTAGTGAAAATAAAATAATAAAAGTATAAGGTAGATTTACACTCAACTAGTGTATTTTCACAAAACAAGGTTACGATATTTGTAACAAGATTTTTTTTTTCACTTTAGTTAATTTAATTTTGTTGGTTTATTTATAATAATTTTCTTAGAATAAAAGAACGAAGCTTTTTGTAAAGTATCTTTAAAACTTTTTAATTAACGCAGAACGAAGTTTCAACCCGATTTCTATTTTATTTTGAGTTAATCTTTGGAGCATTATGTATCAGTAAGGTAAAAAAAAAAAATTGTTTTGTTTTTATTGCATGTTAGGTTGCCATTTTATTTGAACCTATTCGAGTATTAACAATTGATTTTATAAAGAAACGGTTAAAAATTGAGATCGCAAAAAGTGTTTGATTATTTTCGTCGCAAAGACGTTGAAGTGTATCATTTAATAAAAGTATTTTATAATAGAAGTATGATGAAAATACATGACCCAGATAACTTACGAAGTTCAAAAAAGAAAATAATAATAATAATAATTAACTTGATGTCACTGTATTTAGGTTTCAGTTTGTAGTTCATATAAAAATGAAATTTAACTGATCAGTGTGTATATTTTTTATATATGTGTGTATATATTTGTTACGATACAACTTCATTTCGAGGGAGTATAAAAAAAAAAAATCTGAAATCTAATCTTGATTAATTTATTTAAGAGACATACAGCGTCCAATAGAGAAGAAAAAATTCCTTTTTTTATGTATTTTTCGCCTCATAAATTCACTCAAAAACGATTCGCATCAATAATCGTTTGGTGATTTTTACGACACCCCAGCTTTTAAAAGACGGAGCATATGAAAAACAAGATCGAAGGATAAACAGTAATAAAAAGTTCTACTCTAGAATAAGAAAAGCTCTACTCTTTTACATGAAAGAGTATTTTGGATAAAAAATATTTTTCTCTAGGTATTGCCAGGGTGCACAGCGAGGATGATTTTTTTGTTTGTTTAAAAAAACGAAAGGATTGATTTTCTATGTAAGACACGAAAGGAATGAGGGCATATACTGTAAACATATATGCACAGGAGGTGTACATCTCTGTAACTTTGTGTCTCTCAGGAAAGTCTTTTGGATTCGTCTATTATTAAATAAAATAATAAAAAAATAAGGAATATTTACCAAAAAAATTACGTGGATAAATATTACTCGGAAAAAATTATTAAATGCACTATAACATTTTCGAGGTATGGTAAAGTACGCAAAAAAATAAATACCACGTTAAGGAGTTCAAACTTTAGATCTCTCTCCTGATTAAACTGTTGGAACTAATTATTCTACTACTATTATTTATTATTCTACTACTATTACTATTATTTATTCTACGACTAATTATTCATTTATTTAACAAATTGAAATTCCTTAAAGAAATATTTCTCCAAATTTAAGTTGTTGTTTTTTTTTCAAATTTCATTTGCACAAAGAAAATTGAAAACAGGAGGATTTAAGTTTTGTTCATACCCATATAGGCGTTAACATAATATCTGAACGACCCGTGTTGCTATCCCTTATAACTTAAAAAATGTATCTATCAGAACTCCAACTTGTGTTAAATAACACACCCTTAAATGAAACGAAGACATTTTATTTGATCAAATATGTTTTGCCACTGGCCTCTCACGCGACAGGCTACTTTTTAAGTTATTACGTTAATATAAGGTGCGTATCTTATTATTTTACCATAGATAAAAACTGCCTAAATCGTAGGTACTACTTTTAACATTTTATTTTTATCAGTCGCAAATCACTGCCATTTAAAGGTTTTTAATTGCATTAATATAGGGTGCGTATCTTGTTAGTATCACTATTTATATTTTATTCTACCGTAGATAAAAATTGACTAAATCGTAGGTACCACTTTTCACATTTAATTTTTATCAATCGCAAACCACTGCCATTTAAAGGCTTGAGTGCTGCTTTTGTTAAGACTGAATCCTTTTGGGATTCATTACCAACTTTTTTGTTTGGACATAAGGACATCGGTTGACTTCAAAGTGGAAGGTACTTGGGGACAAGATAATTTCTAAACAATTATTGACCAACCGCAAGGGCTTATCATCTAATGCGTTTTTTTAACCTCAATCCTTAGAAATCATAGTACGATCTAGGCAACTTTCCTTTATATAAGAAAACTTCCAAGAGTTAGTTTTATTTAAACTTCATTTGTGGAATATTGCGAAATTTTTTGTAAAGTAATTGACCACATTGAATTGATATTTAGCAGAACAATTGTGGCGTCATGAATGTCTATCCTATTTTTAATAGTTAAAAGAGGAACCGTGGATAATTAACCACGGTTGTTGTTAAGTGAACGACCCCACAAATGGTACATTACATAACATATTTATAATTCTCACTCTTCTAGAAATCTATCATTTTTGTTTTTACCGCTCTTTGTCATGTTTCGAACGATCTTTAGTCATTTTTCGAGCATCTTCCAATCGACGTTGAAGTGCGTCTTCACTCTCTTTCTGGAAGCGTAGTCTTTCTTCGTAGTAGGCGGCCAGCCTCTGCCTTGCCAGTTCTCGTCGATATTCCTCTTTGGCGGCCTGGCGCTGTTGCACTACTTTTAACGCCAACTTCTTTTGGGCCTCCATCTCAGATTGACTCAGTCGTTCGTTTTCTCTCTCTTTCCTCCACTGTTCCACCTGTCACAAAAAATATCAGAGAACCTTTCAAGTCATTGTGAGACGAATTGAACAGACATAAAAGTTTTAGAATAGAATTTTTTTTTTCAAAAGAGGAGACTTGTGAATGGTTGATCGTGTAAAGCTAGGTACAGATGGCGCTAGGGGTTAAAACTCATGGCAACACTTCCAGGTTACTACTCCCGGTTGATTTTTACGGCTGAGCTTGAAGAAAAAGCGCTATCCAATATTATTATACTGGTAGTGTTTACAATAGAATGCGTCCTTTACATTTAAATTTCAACAAAACAAATAATAAAATAATTCGGAATACTTCGCAACCATGCTATAATGCAACCCAAAAAATATCAAATAGTGATATTTTACACAAATATAGCCAAATAAGGGATAACACTCAAAAGATGGCAGACCTTTATTTATGTTGTGATATTAATTTTCTTGAGTTTTGTTTAAGGCTTACAACCTGCTAGAATTTATAAATTACAGAAAACTCCTATGAATGATAAAATTTTACGCTTAAATTTAAACACAAATCCTAATAATAAGACATCTTTAGGACTGGGCTATAAATCGATATATCGCGACATATCGATTTAACGCCTATATCGACAAACCGATACAGCGACTTTCATTCCAAGCGATGCATCAGAAATCTGATTTAAGCCGCCGAGTGAAGAAGACGATATAACGATATAGCGATATAGCGATACACGCAAGGACTTTCTCTTACGTTCCGATGCCAACTCGCGCTGTGGAAGACGATATTGTTTCGTTATGTTGAGACGGCCTTGACTGATGAGCGGTAGAATCAGAATCACTTTTGAGACCTTATATCGTTATATCACATGTTCGTTTTCGCACCTTCGCGATTTGAAATCGTTTCTTGTAGATTATTTTCAATGGGATTAACTTCGTGATCGCCGTCGTAACCTTGTTCTGAACGCAATCTATTATTGAAAAGAATTTATAAAGAAAAGTTTCTTCATT